TCTTCGAAAAAAATGAAGTTAAAAACAACTGGGTTATAAATTACCTACTAGCTACTAAATATGAAGACAAAAACACACATTAAACTTAAAAAATTATTTCTTAATATTTTATTATTGGCTCGTATAATTATACTATTTTAATTTGTATAAATAATTTTAATTCGTGGCCTTGTTATTTCCTTATCAGTGGTCTGGACGGTCAAGGACAGTAGTAATTACTCTAAATATCACAGGCACGTGCAAATTTTGTTGTAAGAGGGAGAAGCTAAATTTTTGTTAATAAAATACTTAAACAATTATAGTATTTTTAAAGATAATTATTAATAATAGTTATAGTTCAAGATATGAGATTAATATAAAAAATAATATTTGCAAGTGCCAAGTTTGCAAGTTGCAACTATTTACTATATTTGGAGAAAAAAAATTTACTCACAGGATGGACATTTATCCTCGGTGACCCTTCTGCATTCCTCTAATTAACTTTTTCCCCATTGAATCTCTATTACTAACAAACAAACGCACAAAGGCTTCAGCGACAATTCAAATCCTCCGATTATAATCCTCGGTACAAAACAAATTCCTAGGTAACTCATCCTGAAATGGATCTGGTGCAACAATCTATATCCTTATTAAAAATATATATTCACATTATAGGGTGTCGCCACTGGGTGACTTTCACACTCTGGTCCTGATTACTCCAACTTTCTACACGTGAAACGTATGCATTTTACTTATTATACTACATTGTACGCATGTTGTAATAAAATATGTTTAATATATATTTTTTAAAAAACTAGTAGATATAAGGTAAGTATTTGCTTAAATATACTGTAGTATAGATGATATGCATTGTGTACTATTATGTTATACTTATTTAAAAAATAAATATAACTAAACCAACATGTATCTTTAATATTTTCGAAGTAAGTAAAAAGTATAAGAAAAAGCTATAAAAAACCTTGAATTCAATTTTCAAGTCTTAGCGAATGAAATGGACAATTTTAACTACAAATAAATGAAGCAATTTTTGTTGACGAATTATTTCAAAATTTGGACTTCAAACGATTATTAATAAAATTGTATCTTAAATTTCTCATATTTATTAATTGCTATATGAACCTATTATTGTCTATTCATAAAGAACCTCGTATTACATGTTAAATCTTATTGACCGTGGAAAATCAGTTAAGCAAAATTGTATTACATAAAAAGAAAAAAAGTCAACACCAAATACCTAAAGGTAAATGTTATGTAATATTAGTTTAAATATTTTGAAAGTTTTTTTGTGCATAGAAATTATTGTAATTTGAGTGGTACCTATACGGTTTTTAAAAACAATTGCATCTTATCAACCCCTTATCTACCAGTTAAAAAGAGTTGTGAAATCGCTTGCCAAATTTACATTTGGCATATATATGTGGATATTACATATCTAATATTCCGAAATCATTGGCGAACCTAAACAATTTTTTAGCACGGTATGCAGATTTGATTTTGAGTAATGAGTAGAGCAAGCAGGACTTTCATGCATTTGCATATTTTTTCTGGTTAACTTTATCGTATGCTCATAGGAAGTACACAATATACATCCCACAATGTTTGTGATTAAATACTAAAAGTTATTAGTGCATATTAACGAAAATCATTCCCTTCGCTAAATATTATTCATGAATCAAGGTCAACAGTTATATTAAATTTGAATGAAGAATGAGATCTGTATTGGCTGTATTATGGTTTTTTTATACATTTAGGTAGATACATAGAAAATTGAATGAAGTACCTATAAATAATTAAAGTTCGTTAAAATAAATTAAATATTTAAAGAAAAAATTTTATTTCACGGCATATTTAACTTATGCACTAACTTAATAAATAATAATACATATTATATAAAAAAATATAATTTATTAGTTTAATTGGGGCTGGTAATTTTCTGTTAGTGTTAGCTGCATATTTGATGATTTTTTAGTGCATAGAAGTCCTCGCCCTAGACTTATGACTTATGAGTTTAGATATCATGTGTTCTCGATTTAGTACCCAAACGAAAAAATGCCCCAACCATAAACTGCCGTGCTGCAAAAATACAGTAACTAAAATTTTTGACACTATGAGATTGTGGATAGATTGTGATTAGGAACCTAGCCTGAGAACTTCTTAGCCGTTTTGAATGATTTTTTGAAGTTAAAATGACGTAATTCCATGTTGAAACCGGTTAAATTACGTTTTTAAATATAAATAGAAACGTAGTAACTCGATATTTATATAGATTTCATTTCGGGAACTAAAACGCAGTAAATCCGTGGAGATACCACATTTTTTTTCTAATTGAGTGGAGATATATTGGTTTTTCTTATAATATACCACAATTCGAAATAATGCATTATCTCCATAAATTATCAATAAAACATAACCAGTAATTGATTACTTTAAAATAACTATTTAATCATAATTAAATAACATTACCTATTCAATTATAAATAAATAATTTTTCAAAAAACATTTAGGTACTATCTACCTATATCTATGTATTAACTATTAATAGTAATTATAATATATATATTTTTTTGGCATAGGTTCGGAGGTACCTACTTAATGTACTGTTAAGTGATAGTGATTAGTTTAGTTTATTGTTCTGTCCAGGCAATTAATAATTTTAACTTACCTAATGTAAAAGGAGACATTACATTTTGTGTTCTAAGCTTTATTCAACGTGTGAACATAAATAATCATAAAAAAGCAACTTCAGCGTTTTTGTGTATTTAATGTATTTTAGCAAGATACGGAAATACATAAAGTGAAAAGGGGTAAGTCTATTTTAAGTTATAAAGAATAAGGATTTTGTAAAAACATCAATTTATTCCTAAACTAATAATATTCAAGACCATGCGTTTCAAGTTTGAAAGTTGTCAACATTTCGAACTAGATTTCCCAACAATTAACATTTTGGAGTTACTACATTTTTGAAATAGCAGTATAGTAGTGTACAACTTCTAATATCAGAGCAAATAATGTATGGCCATACATTTTACTACGACCGACTTATTTACTTTTACTTTTTGGCTGATGAATAGATACTGACGTACTGTTAACTATTTGAATATTTTCGTTTGAATTTGTCATCATTTTATTCACCAATTTTAGGTGTTCTTTATGAGTTTCTTGCAATTGCGACTATCGGAGATAAACTTAATCTAACCAGCAATATACGACGTAGTCATCTTGTTGAATCATTATAGTCGATATTGTTTTTGATTTTTTTATAGATATCTACCTACATACTTACAGTTTTTAACGAGTCATATTCTTCTAGAGATTTGTATACGAAATATTTTTATGATTTTTAGTTTTAATAGCATCGATTTCTAAACAACCTTGAAAATTAAAACTTGTAGGTACTTAACTACTGACTACGTGACCCATCCACTGTAAAATGAAAAGACCGGTCATCTGACTTTTTTCTATTATTATTATTAAGGGAGAATTATTATAAATAGAAGTTGTAGGAGTTGCATATTGTTCTATTATATGCACTTGATTTATAGCAGACTAAGCTAAAATTTGAGCTATATAATGGTGAGTTTCAAAATCAAAAATGTTTAATCTATATCTTGCATGATATGTCGACATGTCGTCATTTGTAGGAAAAAGTGCATATTTCTTTATTTTCATATGTATATTATTTAATATTTTCTAAAAACTGATCTTTTTCTTTCTCAGCCTGTATATTTTAAATAATGTTGAATAATATACAACTCAATATTTTTGAATGTAGGTATTAATTGTTACCGTCGCAGTCGACATTAATTTCTTTAGAAAATCTTTAGACAATATTGGTTGCTCAATTATATGAAATAACTTATTACTTAACAGGTATTGACAACATGTACTTATTTCGTGTTTAACTTCCCAAATACTGATGATATATTTTTTTAAATTATTTTTCGGTTCGTATATTGAACTTATTGGTCTTTAATTAACATACCAGTTCTCGTCTATATTTTAAATATTATAAATTAATTTTTCCATATTTTGCATTTATTCTTGTGCATATTTATAACAATTTTAAAAATTGTTCATGTATATTTATAACATTTATCTACATATTTAATATTTTTTCATGTATATTGATGATTTAATATCATATTGATCATGCATGATAATTTTTGGTGTATTGCCATAAATATCAATATTATTTAACTACACGATTTTTTATATACTACTACATTATAATATTCTACTTTATAAACAAAGAAAAATAATATGTATTTATTTGTATTTATATTTTAGTTTTGTGAGAAATGTGTAATTATTTAATTTATATTAACTTTTTAATTAATTTATACTACAAATTCTGAACTCATTGCCCCCCACACGAACTTGTTAAGTGGGGCCCATTTTCTTAATAAAGAATAAATAAAAATAAAACATAGAAATATATTCTAATAAAAATGAATTGCATATTTTGCCTTTGTTTAATCCTAATACTAGTCCTATAAATTTTAACCCTAATTGTTAGGTACATGATAAAAATGTTTTATTTTTGGGCTGTACTATAGCGACATTGGTTGTTTATCCTAATATTTGCTATGACTCATATTCAAAGGTTCGAACTACAATGATCGTTCCGAGTTTAACCTTAAAATTGAGTAGACTGTATACCAATCTTAAGATTTACCAAGATTAATCACTAAAAGCCAGAATTTTGGACATTTCCGTGGGTAATCGGTAAAACCAAAATTTGACCTCTGCAAATCTATAGGTTTTAGCCAACAACGGTATTTGTACTTTTACCGTTAGTAACGTTTATGTATAGTTTATACTCATCGCATATATCTATTATATTATTTTATTATCAATGTTGAGTTACTTCCGGGTCGACAATCGGCCCTTTCACACGCGTGATTACAATAATACGTATTTTAAAAACTATAAGTAATAAATTGATTTTGTCATGTGCTTATTATATCTCAATATAATATATCATATTATGTTTTTGAAGTTAGCGTAATCTCTCACATTCTTTGTTTATCTCTATGATTGTTTTTGTCACGATAATATTTTATATTATGCGCCATCGAGTTTCGGGTTACGTTCTCTGTCCTCTATATATTAGACCCTCTAGTGGCACGTATATTATAGTGCACTATAAACTGTACATGACTGTATACGTGCAGTCAACGCTTGGACGTGTTCTCAATGCTCGGATTTTGATCGTTGTTGGAACTTTTGAGATTTATACCATATTATACTATTATTCACATAGTTGGTACGCACCCAGCCGCTTGAATAATGGTTTGAAAGTGACGGCTGCACCACAGCATAGAGGAATTGATATTAATCAATAATAATATTCTTTATCTGTGTGTGGCCACCGCACGATGACGACGACGACGATCGACGCTAGAAGAACGTACGCCGTGCCCAGCCTGTTCAAGTCGGCGTACCGAGCGTGCAATCAGATCCAGCGGCACGCTTACCGCACGGATTACGCGACGCTTCCGCGCATCGACTTGCAGCGCTGTTGCGAGTCACTGTTCGAAATCTTGAAGCTGAACACGGAAAGCGGCAGTTTCGACCCGCACGGCGACAGGCGGTTCGTGTTCCGCAAGGTGCGGCGCGGCGTCGACGGCTACAAGTTCGGAGGCATATGCGAGACGGCCGCGCGTCACGGGCACATCGACTGTCTGAGGTTGGCCCACGAAATCGGCTGTCCTTGGGACGCGTCGACTCCCTCGGTCGCGGCCCTAGGCGGACACCTGGAGTGCCTGATGTACATGCACGAGAACATGTGCATGTGGGACGAACGCACGTGCAACAAGGCGGCGGGCGCTGGCCACTTGCACTGCCTCAGATATGCGCGCGAAAATGGATGCCCGTGGCACGAACTCACGTGTGCTGATGCTGCGGCGGGTGGACATCTGGACTGTCTGAAGTATGCACACGAAAATGGATGTCCGTGGGACGAACATACGTGCTTTTTGGCGGCCATGCTGGACAAACTTCAGTGTCTCATGTACGCTCACCAAAACGGATGTCCCTGGGACAGGGAGTATACCGATCGGTTATTTATTAGTCGACGATGTCTTGAATACGCGTTGAACATCGGTTGTCCAAGCTTTTGGTGGACGACCAACGCTGATTATAATTTATTTAATTAGGTAGGCTTATATATAATATTATTTTCATAGTTATACATTTCGATCACTTATTTCACTTTACTTTTATGTGTTTATTGTTTCTAGGTATAATATATTACGCTATTGTTATTACTATTAAAACTGCCAAGTAGTTGTAAAATAATACGCAGACGCTTTAAAGCTGTCCGTGTATTCGATTCATATAAGCTCCATTCAAAGTGAATACTTTTTTACAATAAATTGTCACTGTCACATTTGTAAGAAAATACCAAAATGGGTCCATTTAGATGATCTTTTGTTTCATTATACCTATTTATTTAGCATGTAGCTATTTTGGCAACACGCCAACAGGTATCATCATATTACGCTAATAGCTTATTTTTTCATTTTAATATTAATTTAGTTCTTAAATATTTTGCAGGTGAAGGTATATTGTAAATATATGTATAATGAATAAATATACTTAACGAGTACAACTAAATGTTAATTAGTCTTCTTAATGTTGAGTGTCGCGAGTATGTGTAAACTTATAAAAATTAAAACGTCAATACATTATTAAATTTTAGTGTATAGTATGGTTTTTAGGTTATTTTGAGCATATGGTTATAATATTACAATTTAAGAACAAGCAATTTTATTTCCTCGCCTGTGACGAAAGTTTAATTGTAGAAGCCGTTTCATCCAGTGGACAAATGTATTCAGACAAAAAATATTTTTTTCCGATCAGTTGGCTGCGAAGTAGAAATTTCCAGCTACTGTCCAGATCAGATTAATACACATAACTTATGTAGTATATATTTATATATGTTATGTTTTGAAATTATTATTGAGACAACAGTATAATTTTTGATAATTTCAGTATTATGCTATAAGTAATTTATTAGATACTAAGCAGTAAGCGGAACAATGAATGTATTGATTTTACAATTATATGTATTTTTTAATTTTTATTGCGTCGGAAGACACTTTTTATACCCAGTAGAAGTAAATGCTTTGAGTTTACATTGTGGGTGATTTCTAGTTTGAACTTTGGGGGTTGAACGTTTGATGTACTTATCTGTACTTATAATATTCTACTGTCCGTCTGTACCTATGGCAGATCTTAAAATATATACTTAATATATTTTATTTTTAACAAAATCTACGAGGTATATTTGTATAAATATAAAATATATATTGGTCATTTACTATTTTATGGGGATAAGCTCACACAACCTCCCTTCCTAATTGCACATTTACACCACTTGATCATTAGGCTACTGTTAAGAACCAACAACAGGTACAGTAGTGCTTGGTTTAATATAGCTGGTTAACTAGAACCTCGGTAGATTATTATAGACTATTATAGACTATAATCTACCTTGGTCATAACTTACAAGGTGCTTGAGACAAATAAAGATATTAAAAACGTTATTTTTTGTTTAAAAGAGTTTGTTTGAAATTTGAACTCCAGCAAAGCCCTATAGTATGGACGCTACCAGCAAGTAGGTATAATTCAATAATATTACGATAACTATCAACTCGCACTAGACTCGTTTTGCCTCAGGTATCGAGACTTCCTGGCTTTGCAAGAGTGGTGAAAAACTTGTACGTAAGATGTGGTTTCACACATCTTTTTATTTTATTTAATTACATTATCATACAGCTGAATAGTGAGTATTATATTAATGTTGTATTGTTTTTGTTTATAGGTAGGTAATTACAGTAAATCAATAACGCGTAATATATTTTTATTTGTATTAATACTATATTATACCAATCCAAGTTTCACTTATATGTTTTCAAAAACTGTATGGGAGCTTGTATAGATTTTCGAGAGACCTTTACCTGTTCAAGTATTAAAGTTTATACTATGTAGGTATTACAGTGATTCATCGAATACGATTTATTTCAAAAAATTGATACTTTCTTAGAAAATATCAAGGTACACGTATATATTATGTCTAACATTTATATCGATATTGTATTTTAGATTCTGAGCTGAGCGATGGATGTATTGATTTTACAATGATGTGTATTTTTTAATTAATTTATTTGTACATTTACAGCAGAGTGACATCCACTTACCCGCTTTTTTCATTATTGTTATACGCATATCTACTGTACTCATAGTTCATAAAATTTACTTTTGATTTTAAATTGTAATAAAATGTATTTTAAATTTCATAATCTGAATTCATTACATTTTTAAAAACGTCGATGACTATAAATCGAATATTGAACGCTTCTAGAAGTGTTTTTTTATTTTATGGCATTCAGATCTCCGATAATAATTGAATGGTGTGTAATAATAGTATTGTGATTTAATTGCATTACTTTCCACCAAAATAAGTCGAAGAAAAAATATTCGTTTAGAACGCTGTTGGTTTGTATTTTACTTCACTGTATAAGCTTGAATATAATATTGACGAAAAATATCTTTGATCTGAGTTCAAATTTAAAAAATCTATTTGAATAAAAAAAGAATGTGAAAGAATAAAATCAAATGTGTTATATCTACTAAAACTAGTGAGTACCTATACCGACTGAAGTATTATTTTCACTTGTCGCATAATATATGATTTACTGAAACAATGGTGTCGATTAACTTTTTATTTTTTAAATTTAGAACCATAATGAATGTAGAATAATACTATGTACAGTGAATTCTTAAAATGTTTCATTATCTCGCATTATCATAATTTCAAACTAAATTGAAATTCCCTCGAAACTACCATTACGTTAAAATACTTTTACAACAAAACTGAATAGGTATTTTGAATTTTTCGCTATCTAAAATCTTTTTCTGTTCGATTGTTCCCCTTGAGATTTAACTTAACGAGAGTTTACTGTATATTATTATTAATTAATATATTTTATTCAAATTTTAAATTACCATTAAACTTAAGTAAGTTAGTAACCCACAAAACAACGCAAGGCCATAATTATTATACATACATGAAACTTTAGTACATAATTATATGGTTATTGCTTATCACATAGATATTTATAATAATTAATATTTCTAGCTATTTAAATAGCTTGTTGAAATGAATTTGTAATTTTTGAAATTTTTCTAGGAACATATATTTTATATTAGGTATTTACATAATGTTCTATGGTATAAATGTATATTATAATATATTAAGTAAAAATCGTGTTATGTATTAACGTTCTTTATTAAACAATAATCGATGGCAGCAGAGGAGTAGTAGTGTTCACACAGATCCTCCTCTGCTGTCGGTTCAAACAGAAAAAAAAAAAGTAAAAATCGTGTACACTTGTATCGCTTGTAATGGGTTGAATTTTATTGGTTTTGTTAGGGGCTCCAAAAACATTTAGTTTAGACGCACAACATTTGATACGGAGGCCTGGGTAGATGTGTAGTAGAAATTTAAAAGGTTCATACATATTTATTGTATAATGTTATCACAACAATTTCAATTTATTATTTAACATTTTAAATTAAAAAAAATTTTATTTACAAAAACATAATAATAAATTAATTTAATATGACGAAAAAGAATCCTATACATTCTTGCTCAGTATACGGTGACATCTCCGGAAAGAGGAAATAATAATAAAATATTAATTATTGCGGGTTCGGTGTAATCCTATTTTCTCAATTAAAAACATTTCCAATTAAGTTCATTTTAAATTGGATATTTTCAACTTATAGGTACTAAGTTGTATGTCTCAAATAGACTTCAGAGAAAAATCGAAAATAAAATATGCTTACAAACAAACAAGTTTTTATCTGACGACCTTCATGCGTAAATTCCGAATATTGTATAATTAGCAAAGTAATCATAATAAACACAACTGTAGTGAGATTAACGAGTTGACGGCGTCTCAGTATTAGTTCAGAGATAGTCTGCAAACTATATGTTTAAAGAAGTCATTCCTGAAATGATCCTTATTAAAGTTTAAATGTATACATTTTAGATCATTACACTAAGTATCAACACTCTTGTAATATTACAATAAATTTCTTTTAAGAAAATTAAAAAGGAAGCACTGAATTTTCAAAATGATTTCACAATCGATTCAGCTGCGGATCTCATTGTATTTATTTATAGTTTACGGATCTAAGACAACGACCACTGCTGGATATCCACCACTATTCGAATCAGGGCTGACGTACTTGGCTGAAACTTTGGAATGGGAATCACATGAAACCGTTAACCGGGCAAAAGTTCTCCTAGAATATGATTTCATCGTCGTCGGCGCCGGAAGTGCAGGATCCGTAGTGGCGAGTCGATTGTCCGAAGTGAGTTTGATGTGTTAGTTCTTATTAAAAAACTTTCTTAATTAACTAAACTACTGGTCTCCCGATGATGACTATTCTTATGTCTATTACGACCAGGTCAAAAACTGGCAAGTACTGTTGATTGAAGCCGGGCAACAAGCCACGCACGTCATGGACATACCTTTGACCGCCCCGTTTTTGCAATTTAGCTCGGCCAATTGGAAATACAAGACGGTACCGATGAACAACTCGTGCTTAGGTAATATTTTGAACTCAATTAATAGGAACAGTACATTTTTTTTATATTCGCAATTAAAGTTCGACGTTCATAATTTATAGGTTTCGAAGGCAATCAGTGCAAATTTCCTAGGGGCAAAGTCATGGGTGGCAGTAGAATACTGAATTACATGATATATACACGTGGTAATAGAAGGGATTACGATAAATGGGCAGATATGGGTAACACAGGTATATTTACAAATTGTTTATTTCAATTATACAGTAGTTACTGACTAATGTTTATTGGACTCATTTTGGGACAAGGGCATTTGTGTTCGTTAATCGAATGAGTCAATAATGCAAAAGGTCCAAGAATAAAAAGATATACATATCACACATGGATATGTACAAATAAATATTCATTGTTATGTATTTATTTCAAATGTATGTTATCATTCATAAACAAAAATAACACCAACATTGATAATGATAAAAATATTTTATTTTTCAAAAATGTTGTTTCGTAACGATTTCAGAAAAAATATTTTCAAGAATTTTAATACTTTTTGATGGGGTGAGTCTAGAAAATAAGATTTATCATCATTCATCATAATATATTTGGCGAAATCAGGAAAATACAATAACAGATGAAGAATTATTATGCTGTTGAAAATAAAAACTGATCTCTATAACAATTTAGTGATACCAATAGATACATTTTTCTTATGTGTTAATATATATGTTTGTAAATTGGAATTGCCCTGTTTGAACAATTATATGAGTTTCATCGAGATCAAGTTTAAAAACTCAAAAAAATAATATGTTGTAACTTTTAATGCGTGTCTTAAGGCTGGGACTATGACAGCGTTCTGAAGTATTTCATAAAATCGGAAAACGCCAACTTGTCTCACTCAGATCCAGGTTATCATGGAAGAAATGGATTGTTGTCGGTGTCCGACGTCCCGTACAGGACGCCAATAGCGAAGGCTTTTGTGGAAGCTGGATCTCAAATAGGACTTCCCATTGTAGACGTCAACGGGGAAAAACAAGTCGGGATTAATTATTTGCAGGTAATTAGAAATAAACAAGGGGTAATACCTATATCGAGTATAATTAATAATTATTATAATATATAGGTATTAGGTACAACTTATAAAAACAAGTTCTAAAAAAATATCATAAATACTAAATTTTCAATTTTGGTGTATATTAGTTTATTACAGTTATTGATTACTGACATTGAATCAATATATTTATAAGTAATAACTAAAATCAATGAAATTTATATTATGTGGATTTTGTAAGCACCTACAGCTGAATATGGCTCTATATTTTAATTTATCTTGTAAAGGTGCTACACTTGAGATTAGCTTCCTAAATTTTTGATCTTGTTAATCGTGAAAAATAAATATTATTTTTTTAATATTCATATACTATTTGAAATCTATAAGTAGCAAAGTATTATAATATTAAATATTATAATTTATAACTATTACGTCTCACAAAAAAATTAAGTTATGTGTATTATTATTGCCTATGCATTTTCCTCATAAAAAATTAATTTTATTTACTCTTGCGTGTTGAAATTAATTATTATATTATTTATCTGTACAAAAAAAAAAAATACTAGAAACAAATTGGATTCGTTGGAAACTTACTGAGCGTATGGTATAATTATCAAAAACTGAAACACACACACTATGCAGTATACTTACAAAAATAGAATATTATATAAGTTTATATGTGGAGTAGATAATATACTAAATAATTATACTAAATCGTTAGTTCTACTAAATGATTATTATAAGGAGCTTAAGGTTGTCGAAACCCAAAAGAAATCTAATTTAGTTAGTATCCATACTTGAACTGACCTGAATAACGACCTCCTATCGACGCACTAAATCTATTGCTTTTTTATTATATTTAAATTGTAAGCATACATTTATACAATTATTATATATGTCATATAATTTGAAAATTTATTTTAATTTAATAATCTTAAGTTAAAACATTCTGTATCTTCTACAGAGATAGACCTCTATCACTATTAGCAGAATGAAAATTTAAAAAAAAATAATTGAAATTCTATGTACCTATCTAATAAAAATATCAAAAATACCAATTCTCAGCCTGTTGGCCACTATAGCCACTATCAATATAATATAAACTTACACTATACACAGTTATATAATATAACTACACATAGATCATTGACGCACACGAATTTATTAATTGGATTCAAAATTAATAAAAAAATAAATAACAATATTATAATCTTTTATCCATAGGAGGCACCTAAATGCATTAATATACACAACAGCCAAATTAATAATAAATTAAGAAAATCTCAGTCCACCAATTTATTGTTTTTCATTATGATATCAAAGCAAGTAGGTAATGGATTTTTTTTTTAAATTTCAGACCACTGCGAAGAACGGTCGCCGCTGGAGCACAAACACGGCTTTCCTGTTCCCTGCGAAAAAAAGACCTAACCTGCACGTGAAAAAGCTCAGCATGGTAACGCGAATACTGATAGACGGACAGACAAAAAAGGCTATAGGAGTGGAGTTTGTCTCAAAGCGCCAGATATACAGAGTGTTCGTGCGGAAGGAAGTGATCGTTTCCGGTGGGACCATAAACACGCCACAGCTGCTCATGCTGTCCGGAATCGGTCCGAAGCAACATCTGGCTGACCACCTCATCCCGCTGGTGGAAGACTTGCCGGTCGGCGAGAACCTGATGGACCACGTGTCCCTGGGAAGTTTGGTCGTATCGATAAACAATTCCGTTTCGATCAAATTTAACAAGGTTTTGGATGATCCGAACAGCTTAAACGACTACATCCGCAATGGAGGTGGTATCCAAACGGTGCCGGGAGGCACCGAGGCTTTAGCTTTTGTGGACATAGACAGGCCCGGGTCGAGGGACGGACATCCCAATCTCGAGCTGCTGCTGGCGTCTGGAACGTACTCGGCCTACGAGCTACTGCCCAAACTGTGTGGCATGAGGACCAATCTGTACGACGCAGTGTATCGGGCCACGGAAGGTATGGACGGGTTCACGGTTTTCCCGATGGTGATGCGTCCCAAGAGCCGCGGCCGCGTGTGGCTGAGAGACGGCGACCCGTTCCACCACCCACTGATCGACCCCAACTATTTCGCTGATGAGAGAGACCTAGACGTGATCGTGGCCGGAGTCCGGCTTGTCCAGCGGATGCTGCTCACGGACCCGATGAGGTCACTCAACGCCACGATCCTGGAAACGCCGCTGCCCGGATGCGTGCAACATGTGTTCGACACGGACGAGTACTGGAAATGTTGCGCCCGCCAGATATCGTTCACGATCTATCACCTATCTGGCACGTGCAAGATGGGACCGGCCACGGATCCGACGGCCGTAGTCGACCCCAGATTGCGGGTGCACGGGGTCAGTGNACGGCCGTAGTCGACCCCAGATTGCGGGTGCACGGGGTCAGTGGCCTGAGAGTGGTGGACGCGTCGATCATGCCGGAAGTGCCAGCGGCTCACACCAATGCCCCGACGATCATGATTGCGGAAAAAGCGTCCGACATGATTAAAGAGGACTGGGGCGTTCGGACGTAGTAGATATTGGCGTGACAATACTGTACGCATTGTTGTGTAGTGCATACATACTCTCGAGTCTGGTCATTGCCTGTGTTATTTTTTATTCTTTTAGTTTAGAAATAACTAAGTAGTGTGTAAAAAAAAGTAGGAAATTCCACTCTGACTTAAAATGTTGTGCGTAACAATCGATTTGTGCAGTGTGTTATAAGAATGACTGAAGTCCAATGACGCACTAATAATAAGAAATAACTAATAGGTATTTAATTAATGATTTCTTTTGTATATATTTGATGATATTTGCAACACAAGCGACGGTTATGTGTTATTAAACTCTTGTGTTATTTGGAAGCAAAGTTACCTTTTTTTATGTAACCGGTTTCAATAACTAAGGTTATATTAGCTTCTATTTTTTAACATGTTTTTTGAAGGTACTTAATTTGTTAGTGGTTATTACAAAAAAATTAGTTTGTATTTGCATTATACGCCGAATATTGCCTATATAACGATTGTTGATATATTTGTGTATGCCAGTAAAAGTGTTTATCATATAATATTGTTTTTTTGTTCATTTTGTTAATGAAGCTTTAAATGTTTTGGTTAGATTGAATTTGGAGATGAACTTTATGATATTTGAGGCTTGTTCATCTGTGGGATTCTTTTTATGCTGTGCGGACTGCGGAATGTACCTTTAAACAATCATTTTATTATTATGGCCTGTAGTACAGTGTTCAAAATGTCATAAGTAATTCAATGCACATCGCCTCATCACTTGTGACATAATTATTATATACAAGAGTACCTACAGTTTTTACCGAGGAGTGAGGGTAACGTCTTACTCCTTTGTACCTATTCATAGTTTCATTGTGTTATATATTCTTTTGTACATATTGTTATATGCACTGCACTGTAATAATGTTTACATCATGTGCATAAATTAGACACTATATAGTATATACACATTGTATGTATATGGAATGATCTATTTTACATCCACATATTTTACATAACTATATAGGTCATTATAACACAACTTAAAAAAAAGAAAAATATATTATTAGCTTACCAAAATGTTGTGGGATACAATTGTACCTCTCTACTTCGCTCATATCAACTTTGAATACTAATAAATTATAACTCATGAAAAACTAGCCCAAAATTCGATTTTTATACTCTCGTTAAACAGATCACCCGGTATAGTTGACCAATAATAAATTTACACACTCGACACTTTTCGGTTATGTTGTCCAAATTATTATATCATTATATACGCAGGTATATTATCATTTATCAATGTGGCACCACGATGACACTAACTTTGACATTCACCAACAACACAATCAAATTTATAAAAACAATTTTTCAACATTCTTTCTGCAATAAACAGTAAATTACTTTTTAACGAACACTCACTACCGCTTATTGAACTCGTCGAAGCGTTTGAAGTATAGGGTGAAAGGCCAAAGGCCCAAAATGCAACAATAAAATGTATGTAAGTAATTACTATTAAATATATTTATAAGTGGAATAAAAAAATGATGTCGGCGTCGATGTGGTCAGGACATTTGCGGTCGGCACCTTTTTCGTGTCATTTGCAGCGGTCAATTTATTTCTATTTACCTGACTATAAAATTTAGATGCTATATATAATATATATACATGATACATGTATTGTATACTTAATTTGTGCCAATAGGTATATATTTACTATTTTACTATATTTAAACTTCCCTTCACACTTTTCAAGGTTTAGGACTGGCAGTATTTTTTACTGGCGTGTTTAAAAGCTTATTATTATTATTATTATTATAAATAATTCATATCGCATTACATAATAGGGTACACTTTTTTTACCTTATTACAATTATTATAAAGAATTCACATAATAATACGTTTGTCGATCACATTACATATAAACATATAATACTAATACTCATACATTACTAATAAACATATATCGTGATCTATTTCATACTCTATTAATGTTTTTTGAATTCTTTCCTCTAATTATATGTTAATCTTTTTTCTTCTTTTACCTTCCATATTTAAGTAGCTTTTGCATATAAAAATTCCAAATTATCAGCCTCTTTTTTAAGACAGCTTTACAAATTCTTAAACGTTGGTCGTGACGTATTCAATATTTTATTGAGTTTTCTATTCCAACCGTATAGGATTACCTTTGGTTGTATAAATAATAATAATGAACTTTTTTAACACATTTTTATAATATAATATATATTTAGAATATAATATTATATACAGAACTTACCTTAAATTTTATAGCCAGGTAAATAGAAATAAATTGACCGCAAATGTTCCAGACCTAAAAAAATAGACCTAAATCCTAATAGTCTAATAAAAAATATGTACGTATAAATATATATTTATTTATTAGGTATGTATTTTACTATTTTTACTTAACTGTAAATAATATATATTTTGTAATCAGTTGCAAAATATATAGATAATAGTATTCAAAAATTACCGTGTACAATTTATATTTTTAATTGACTCAACCAGTGTGAAAAATTAATAGACGAATTATTTTTAAGTGTAAAATATATTCTGCAGTTTGAGTCCATTAGGCAAAGCGTTTTTAGGGGTGATTTTGGGGAAGGAGGTTTCAGCCTTATAGAACTGATTAAAACTTCCTAACATTTTTTCGATAAATGTGTTTCCATAATGTTATTGCTAACTATATTTTTCTTTCTTACAATTATTAAATAGGTTTTTTGTTTGATATAACTAACACAAAAAATATATAGCCGGTGATTCTGTATCAAATCCCAATAATCTTAAATATTAGGAAATAATAAATCACATCAAAATAAACTTTTATAAATTAATTGATTTTATCAGATAGACGGCGAGTGCTCGGCAGTTATTGTATGCCAATATTACGATTGTTGATATGATAAAAGTATGAAATAAGTGTACATTTTACAATTGGTTTTTTGTTCATCTTCTTTATTTTAATGTATTTTAAAATTTGCATTATTATTTGGAAAGACGTAAATGCATGTATTATAATATTACAGACATGAATATATTATAATAGCTAAAGACACAATTTAAGTGGTATGTATAAACTATAAAGGAAAAATATAAGTAAAAAAAAAATGTTGTCTTTGTGACAGTACACGTTGAATGAACTAATTAACACCAAGCGTCCGTGATAAGTAATGTCTACTGTATGTTTATAAATAATATTAGAGCTGTACAAACCAAGTTTAATATTGACAAAATACCTCTTGCTTAGTGGTCAAGCCCTTATGATGTTAACATCAGAAAACCAATTAGTATAATGAAGGAGCAGTAGATTCCAGGATAATTACTTTCGTAATTAGTTCGGTGGATAAAGCGCAACAACTCGTAGTAAATACATATTACCTATGTAATTCAACTTAAATAGAATAATAATATTATTCAATTTTTATATTTGTACTAGTAGTACTTAAAAGCTGTGTTTTAAGTACTCATTGTATATTTATTCATACCAAATTATTTTACCAAAATTATACAATTTTAAATAAAAGAATGATTGAAAAATGTACCTATATGGGAATCATATACATTATACATATATCAAATTTTTGTATTTGTTTTAGATTTATGTAATTAATATAGTTCATAATTTATAGCAGTATAATAGTGGTGGCTTTTTTTTCCATTTTTTCACCGACAACAGAGGAGGCTCAGTTTGAACAATACTGCTCCTCAAATATTGGCGACTTGCCTGGACGCGGTTGCTGCAATTAGTCACGTAACGTGATTAAGAGTTCGCAACAGTCCACTACCATTAATTCCTGGATGGGTGACCACCCGGGTTCTTAATGACAAATCTTAGTTTTCAACAACCATACTAGCCCTTCCGCAACTCCCTAAATAGCTAATAGCACCCTATGCCCTATGTTGACAAGGGATAATTAATAATAATAAAAAAAAGTATAATATAATATTTTGATTTTTTAAGCTTATTCTATTTGTATGGTTAAATTATGCATATATTAGAATTCAGATTTTTGGAATTTTTAAATATACTTGAAGACCATTTTTTGAATCATTGGCACTTTTGTACTACTTAAGGATGATCCTGTGACAATACAAATTTCTGTTTTTCAAATAGGAACCTCTCTTTTTCATTTTAAATTAATGAGTAGATTTTTTTGTTGAGAATTTTGAAGAATATTTCAAAATAAATTTAATAAATAATATTACTATGTAAAGTAATATATTGGATTTAGATTCTGAATGGAGCGATGAATATATTAATTTTATATTGATGTGTGTTTTTTTTTATTGCTTTTTGTGTCTGTCAACATTTTGGGGCAGTAAAAATAAAAATACTTTGATTTTCTTCAAAATCATCTTTTTTGGTAGGAAAGTGAATCTATTTTTCACTTGGTCAAAAGTGAAAAATTCCCAAACGTTTTCAAAAGCAGCAGAAGAAACGAGAACTTTTAACAATAAAACCATGTCATTTAGAAGGTATTACATCCCGAAGCTGTATCCGGGTGACCGGGTATGTAATGATGTTAAAAATAAAATGTAGCAAGAACCATAATTTTAACAGCTATAACATAAATAGCAATGTATAACATTACGAGAAATATAAATTTAAAAAAAAGCTTGTACATTTGAACTCGAGGTATAAGATAATATTTGATACACGAAAAACGATACTGAGAGAAGACAATCTGCCAGACTATAATATTACTTAGTATATTTGATGTTATTGATGTAATTCAAGTAATTTATTTTACCATGAAAAATACGTACTATAGTATGTTAACTTCGTTTTTGCTAAAAAATGACATTTGAAAGTTTCATCATGTGCATAAAATATAATAATATACTCTAAAACGTTCATATACTTAGGAATAATTTTTTTAAACTACAACAAAATGACAAAAACATTATTTTTTGTGTTAATATGAATGTAATTTCTTCCAAATTTGCAGAACATATTATAACTTTATATAACATTCTTTCCAAATCAAACAAAGATATTAGATTTATATGCAGACCCTACATCGTAACATAAAGGGAAATGAGAAGGCAGACGAAGCTGCTAGAAATGCAATCAATAATTCAAACAGTGAAATAATTCCTTTTTCCTCACTCGTAGATACAAAAAGAAACATAAACAAATACTGTATAGATCTGTGGAACTCACATTGGCACTCGACCACGGAAAATAAATTAAGAGAAATTAAGCACTCTGTTGAGCAGTGGCCGAAATACACTGATTTCGAAAAAATGAGGTAATTTTTAATCGATCCAGAATTGGTCACACGAAACTCATACACGGACATCGTATGGCAAAGACAGATCCACCTGTATGCCAAACATATTATCAACATGTAATACAAACTACTCCATCAAACATATCATCATCCACTGCCCTAACTTCAATGAAGCCAGAAAAGATTTCAATATGCCAGACAATCTGTACGAAGCAATTGGTCCATTTTCAAACTTTCAAAACATAATTCTATACTTTAAAAAAATTAAATTGTATATTAGCATATAACCTTCAGTGTTAAAATGTTAACACTTGTAAAGCTAATAACCAGTGTAGTTGATGCTTAATCAATGAAGAAAAAAATTAACTATAAAAAAACTGGTTTTATGTATATTTTTTGGTTACTGAATTATTATTTATATACTTACATGAAACCTTGTTTTGAATTTTCAATCCTTTGCTATACAAGTTAAAAATTGTATACATTTTTAAATTTTAAATTTGATACATTTTGTCAAAATTCGAAATTTAAATGCTTAGTATAAAAATTGTAACTATGTATTTTTAATATTTTTCAACTACCATTGTAACATTATATTAGGAACATTTTATCAAACTTCAAAGCTTTTTGACCTAATAAATACAATTTTATTGACATTTTTAGAAAAAAAAAACTAAACAAATTGGAAACTAATAATGTCCGTAATTAACTCAAAAAAAGTTGAAAATATTTGGTGTACATAAATTGCTAATATAAATATTAGTGAAAATGTCATATATCTGCCATTTGTTTTAGAACTATACCAAACACAAAAATCGATTTTGTAAAAAATCGGGTTTGCATAACAATAGGTAGAGCAAGGACTTTCATGCACTAAAAAATCATCAAATATGCATTTAAAAATATGCACTTCTGCATCAAAAAATTAAAAATATGCGGTTAAATATGCCCTTAAAAAAATTAATTTTATTATTATTCTATATAAGTTTTAATTATATTTATATTATTAAATTCATTTGGAATCTGTTTTGAATGTTGGATCCCATTTCTTCATTTATTCTGCACATAATAAAACAAAAAAGGTATTTACCGACCATTATTATTATTTCAAGATAACATTTATCTTTATTGTCTTTATGAGTGTATACAAATTGTTGATTTTAGTTCATGAAAAATGTTCACCAAAGAGCTTGATTTTCGATAAACCATCAAAATATGCACTAAAAGCTTAAAATATGCTCTTATAATCAAAAATATGCCCCTTAAACCAAAAAATGTCCAAATATGCAAAAATATGCACTAAAAACTTTTAGCTTTTGGTCACAAACGTCGTGAAAGGTATTGTGTACTTACTCTGCATACGTTTAACTAAACCATAAAAAACATGCAAATGCATGAAAGTCCTGGATCTACAAATAAGCAACCAAATGAAATAAAGTGTGTAGATCAATATTATTTTTACAAACATATAATGACAATTACATTCTTCAGTATTTATATGACGTGTCGTGATGATATTGTCTTACAATTTTTCTTTAAGGACATTTTACATTTTTATATCACACATATGTACCGATCTTAAGTGGTACATTAAAGGACCTTAACCTTATTGGCATTTTTGAAAGTTATAGGTTATATAATGATTTAATGTTTGATTCAAAGTTGAAAAATTATTCTAAGAACAATAATTTTTTAACGGCTCTATAATTTATATTCTGTTAAATATTAATACGATTTAAATCAAATCACTGATTGCACTTAAAAAAAATATCTTTCTACCTTAGCAATATCTAGTATCTACTATTAAATAATTTGGTTTAGGTGGCAATTTTAAAGAAAATTTGAAGTATTTTTGAATTTTCAGTTATTTTAGCTGATGATCGTTAATATAATGCATACAGACACTTGAAACAAAAAAATGTCAATATTCCAAATAAGCTGCTCCAATGGCCTTAAAGAGTTTACTTGTTTGTCTATTATACTAATCGTTTTATTATATAATCTTCATATCGTGTCCAAATACTATTTAAATTTAAAATTCAATTTCGTCGACGATTGAATATAGTCAATTAAAATAATTGATAAAGTTTAAGCAGTTATAATAGGTACCACATAAAATTGGGCATGCAAAAAAATAATGTTGTTTTACAGCAGAAATTCACGAGGTCATTGAACGAATATTCTCGTTACTACATTTATAGTTTTATATAACCAATACATAGAATATTCGTAGAAATCATAGTAATCGTAATAGCAGTTTCCTATACTCGTATTTGTGCTATCGCTAATTACGTTAAAAAAACCATTTTCCTACCGTCTCGTTAGTGCCAACTATTTTGCTTTTAATTTAAATTTTACCTGAAATCGAATAAACCAGTTGTGTGGTTAGATGCTGAAAAATGTAAGGAACCGTTTGAGCTCATGAAAAATATAAATTAAGCAATCTGACTGCACCTAAGTTTTCAATATGCACCTAATGAAGTACCAATAAAGCTATTGTAAATATTAAAGTCTTTACGAATACTATGTTCATGAAATCCTAAGGCTTTTAAACATTATCTAATAGTTAAATCGTGAGTGAAAAATTAATAATAGTATCAATTAATATTTCGAACGGTTTTTATCCAGCAAGCATCGGAAACCGAAAAAAAAACTAGAAACTAGTTATTTTCAGAACGACCTTCGTCTCCTCGCTCGCCATTGGCAATGAGTGAGGTAACGCAGGTCAATATCTATATTTTCGTATCCAAGTCTGCAGACCTGCTATATACATAAGACCACTATTATGTCCGACAGTCCAATGACTCCTGCAATGGTAAAAACTAACAACGGCATTCGGCCGCTGCGAATCGTCTTTCGTGAATTTGGTTTACATTTGCTGGCACGCCACGGTTAAAGTCCGACGACCGTCGACCGTCAATACTGTACCTATACCATAGTGCGATAGTCGTCGGAACCAGCCGATCCGAAACCGTAAATTCGCGAAAATATATTATTATTATGGTTTCCGCTTCGCTACATTTTCAGGCGCGGACAGTCGTTGTCCTATTACTGTTGCAGTGCTCGTTCGTGGTCATCGTCCGAGGCTCATCGCCGCCGCCGCACTATCCGCCTCTATTCCAATCTGCGCTGAAATATTTGGGAGAAACACTGGAATGGGAATCCAACGAGACCGTCGACAGGGCGAAAGTGAATCCGGAATACGATTTTGTCGTGGTCGGGGCCGGAAGCGGAGGATCAGTAGTGGCGAGCAGGCTGTCCGAAGTGAGTGGCTATAGCTGCCATTTTACCTAAAAATAAGCGTATAGCAACATGCGTTTTGATGATTTCAAAAATTGCATTACAAGATAGGTATAGTATTAAGCATAAATGTGGTAGATGGTATTTTGCACAAATTTTATTACTTGTAATTTGCGCCACCAATAGGTACATTTAGTGTGCGCATGTAATCTGAGTCAAAGTATAAAAATATCACACGTATTTTGTTACACATTTAAAAATTAATTTTAATAATTTGGGCCAGTTCAGTAAACAAAATGGCCTATGTAATCTTCTACACACTTTTAAATTGTTGGAATTTACTATTGTTTTTAATTATACTACAACTCGTTTTATATGATTTATAAACTACCGACATTTTTCTTATTTAATTTATATGATGTACTTATACTACAGTGAACACTGAACTTGATTTATCAATTGTTATAAATACAATATGATAATCTCTAAAAACAAAAATTGCTTAGAAATTTCAAAGTGGCATGAATTGTAATTTTAATAATCTGAATAATGGCGCAAAGGATGATTTAAGTAGGTACGCCATGGTGCAGATTATATACTGCCCTTTTATTTAGTTTTATTTGGTCCAAACGATAAAATTAAAAAGTGGCGCAAATTATCAAAGTTATTTTTTAGACGTTGTGCAAATTACATTTAATATATTTATTTTTGGCGTTGTTTTTGGAGCAAATTACATACGACAGTAGACTATCAGGTAGTGAATTTGTACCACTTGGTTTTTTTAATATACTTTGTACAATACAAAGTTTGTACAAAGTTACTTTGTTTATTTTTCATTTGTGCCTTGACCTTAAGGATCATAGTATTATTTAGCTATATACAAAGAACAATCATTGATTATAAATAGTAGCATTTAAAGTATTATTTTATTAGTTAGAATCAATGCTATAAACAGTGTCAGCCTGACCATTTTTAGATTTTGGTAAATTTTTTATCCTGAGCGGACCTTCGAATCTTTGGGGTTCATAATATGGTAAAGAAAAATTGTTTCAACAAAATGTAATTCAAATTTGTGTGGGGCCCATAAAAAAAACTGATTGTCACAATGTCTATAACCTATTAAAACTTGGATAATTATAACCGTATATTTCTTAATATTTTAATATTTAATAAGGGACATATATAATACATATTCACGGCTTCCCTAAAAAATGCTCTACTTCATTAAAAAATAATTATATCAATGATTTAAAAACAGATAATGATACTCAAAAATTCTTTGGTTATTAGCCTCCCTCCCTTATAAAAGGTTAGAATTTATTATACAATATTAAAACAATTAATAGTTAAGTAATAATAATTAAACACCACTTTTGCTTTGAAAATAAAATATACTTGATGAGATCGCGATAGGTTGGAAGCAAGTTAATCATTTACAAAAACACATCAAATGTTCATAATGTTTAAAATCAATAAGATTTGGATTGGTGTAAGCCAAAACAGATATCAATTTCGCCTATCATTATACTGCAGATTTGTGTACCAAATAATGGTATTTTATGTTCTGTGAACAGGTGAAAAAATGGAGGGTGCTGTTGATTGAAGCCGGACAACACGCCACACACGTAATGGACGTGCCCTTGGCCGCTCCGTTTTTGCAATTTTCCTCGATCAATTGGAAATACAGGACAGTTCCGATGAATAATTCATGCCTGGGTAATATTGAACACAGTTGAGATGTTTTAAACATTTTGTCTTAAGCACTTGTTTAAAATATATTTAAAAAAAAGTTGTTTAAAACAAAAAATATAATTTAAATTATACATTTTAATATCCTGTTGTATAAGTTTGTCTTATAGTTTGTAAATAAAATGTTAAACAAACATATTATCTACAGAACTATAGAAATAATATAAGTTAGAACTAAATATTATAAAAGTTATAAATTCATATATATATTCATATTTATATATATATTTATATATACTCCTATTTATTATTTTTTGGCTTAATAAACAAATTTGAAATTTATAGCATTTAAAATAAATTGTATAATATAATTGACGAACCCTCCAAAATATTAATATTATGTTATTTTTTATCACGATATAGAAAGCAGATCAGTTATTTACCATTAATTATTAATTATTATCAACCACGATTTTTAAGTCTGAAGACTAGGTAAAATTACCCGTTAAATTATAAAAAAATGATTTATTTTTTATGAATAAATTACATATTTTGTTTTGCCCTCTGTAAAATCATGTTTGTAAAACAGTTGAAAAAATCATCTAAAAAAACACGTTTTAGTTGGTTAAACAGTTTTTTGATTTTTGTAAAAAACAATCATGTTTTTTATAAACTCGACTATTATGTAATACAATCCAATAATATTTTTCTGTTCATTTTATATAGGTTTCGAAGGTAATCGGTGCAAATTTCCGAGAGGCAAAGTCATGGGTGGCAGTAGCGTACTGAATTACATGATATATACACGTGGTAACAGAAAGGATTACGACAATTGGGCAGATATGGGTAACACAGGTATATTTACAAATTGTTTATTTCAATTATTCAGTAGTTACCGACTAATATTTATTGGACTCATTTTGGGACAAAGCCATTTGTGTCCGTCAATCGAATGAGTCAATAATGCAAAAGGTCCAAGAATAAAAAGATATACATATCACACATGGATATGTACAAATAAATATTCATTGTTATGTATTTATTTCAAATGTATGTTATCATTCATAAACAAAAATAACACCAACATTGATAATGATAAAAATATTTTATTTATATATGGGAAACACGGGTAATTTTACAAATATTATTTCACTAATATAATTATTTGCAGACTGCAGTAATTTCATCGAGTTCGTGTTTAGAAACTTAAAAAATTATACATTTTAATACATGTTTTAAGGTTGGGATTATGACAGTGTTCTAAAATATTTCATCAAGTCGGAAAACGCTAACTTGTCCCACTCCGACCCTGGGTATCACGGAAGAAACGGATTGTTGTCGGTGTCTGATGTCCCGTACAGAACGAAAATAGCAAAAGCTTTTGTGGAAGCCGGATCACAAATAGGACTTCCTGTTGTAGACGTTAATGGAGAGAAACAAGTCGGGATAAACTATTTGCAGGTAGAATATAGTATCAAGCCATCAAGGGTATCCGTATATAATATTAACATCACATGTTTGTAAACATTGTAAACATTCTAACCCCTAAATATGAGAGAATACAAATGAAAACGTGTTTTTGTTAATGTTTTTGAAATCGAGTCATACATCATTCCGTATTATAAAAATGGTAGAAAAAAAATGTTAATTCTGCGAAATTCTTAATAGTTCATTGGTTAAAAAACGTTAAAAAACGTTTGAAAATGGTTATTTTTCGATAAGTATTGAAATCAAATTAAAGATTAAATCAATAATTACTGTGAAGTGTACTTTGTACATTGTTTTTAAAAATCTTATAAGTCTCGAAATCTAGAGGTAAGGAGGTGGTTTCAATAAGCTAAGTAGGTGTTAAGTAATTTCCATGTAATATGTAGAAATGTGTTAAATTATCTGGCAACAGCACAAAATACCATAATTTTGCATAAAATATGGTCGTAAATTGGATTGAAGATCTGAGTTCAAAAATGATTATTTTCGATTAATTTACATTTTTATGTACATAATAATTTTTCTTCTATATTATAAATCAATAATGAAATAGTAAAGTGCCCTTCATGAAAAAAAAAATTAAAATTGGTAATAACGTATTTTGGATTAAAATATCATAGGACCATTTATACACTTTGGTAAATGATTCACCAAAGCATTATTATTCTTATAGGTAGTACCTATATAATATATTATGTAAAAACGCAACATTTACATATTATGTAAAACTAGAGTTCCTTTGGTTGACAAAGCTTTTTAGGGATAATAAAGATAGTAATTGTTTCCAATAAAAATATTTCATATAGAATGTTATAGGTATACCTGAAAATACTACATGTTATATTGTTTTTTGATTGTTGCAGTAGGTAACTTTGGATTTATAATACCTATTATTATCATTGAAACATATACTGATAACTGATAAGATATAATGATGCATATAAACTCAAATATTATAACCATTGAACATCAGCCGAACTTAATATTATATTAAATAAATTACATCATTTTTGATTCATAATTATTAAATATTTTTTCAGACCACCTTGAAAAACGGTCTCCGTCATAGTGCGAATGCAGCGTTTCTTTTTCCGGCGAAAAAGAGATCAAACCTGCATGTAAAAAAGTTCAGCACAGTAACGAAGATACTGATCGACGAATCGAAGAAGACAGCGATCGGCGTGGAGTTTGTCAGGGGCGGAAAAAAAACCAGAGTGTACGTCCGGAAGGAAGTGATCGTTTCCGGTGGCGCCATTAACACACCGCAGCTGCTCATGCTGTCCGGAATCGGGCCCAAGCAACACTTGGCAGACCTTCGGATCCCGTTGGTGTCAGACTTGCCTGTCGGCGAGAACCTGATGGACCACGTGTCGCTGGGCGGTCTGGTGGCAACGGTGAACGATACCGTATCGATCAGGCTGCACAAGGTATTCAGTGATCCGTTCATTTTGAACGACTTGCTGCAGAACCACAACGGCATGTATACAATACCGGGTGGACCTGAAGCCCTGTCGTTCGTGGACGTGGACAGTCCGAGTTTGGCGGACGGCCATCCCAATCTCGAGCTACTTCTGGCGTCTGGAATGTACTCGTCTCACGAACTGATGCCCAAGCTGTGTGGCATGAGGGAAAATCTGTACGACGCAGTGTATCGGGCCACGGAAGGTATGGACGGGTTCACGGTTTTCCCGATGGTGATGCGCCCCAAGAGCCGCGGCCGCGTGTGGCTGAGAGACAGCGACCCGTTCCACCACCCACTGATCGACCCCAACTATTTCGCTGATGAGAGAGACCTAGACGTGATCGTGGCCGGAGTCCGGCTTGTCCAGCGGATGCTGCTCACGGACCCGATGAGGTCACTCAACGCCACGATCCTGGAAACGCCGCTGCCCGGATGAGTGCAACATGTGTTCGACACGGACGAGTACTGGAAATGTTGCGCCCGCCAGATATCGTTCACGATCTATCACCTATCTGGCACGTGCAAGATGGGACCGGCCACGGATCCGACGGCCGTAGTCGACCCCAGATTGCGGGTGCATGGGGTCGGTGGCCTGAGAGTGGTGGACGCGTCGATCATGCCGGAAGTGCCAGCGGCTCACACTAACGCCCCGACGATCATGATTGCCGAAAAGGCATCCGACATGATCAAAGAAGACTGGGGCATACTGACGTAGTAGATAATTTCGAGCGGTAATAGTATTATAATCAGTGTTAAGAATATTGATTTAAGTGACTGTCACCAATTGAGTTTTAGAAGTGCCAACATTTAAAATGTCTAATTTTCTTCAGCGTTGGCCATTATTCCTTCTCTATGATTCTCCATAAATACACGTATGTATTACATAACACGTTTGGTGTTGAAGGGTACCTATTTAATATTTTTATGAATTAAAAGAATTAGAGATCACTGGTATTTGTAAATGGCTTTTGCCATGTATACCAATAATATACATCCATTAATAGTAGGTAAATTTACATTAACTCCAAACAGTCCAAAAATATCCTACTATACGTATTGTGGTTTTACTCGATATAATTTTACATTTTTTTTTACATTTTCTATCGTCTTGTTTGGTAATATTTTATGACAGGCAAATAAGATGCAGAGAAAATAGTGATGCCAAAGTACAACCTCGAATAGTTGATTTAAGTAACTATAGTTTCGCATATAGGTGCTATACCCGCATTCGACCGTTTATTTCATTTTACATTCATGCAAAATTTTGCATTAATTTAAATTCATTGTTATTAGTATTATTAGAACTGTAAATTCCTTCTAATGTTCTAACCAAAATTTAAATAATATAGTGTAGTCACTCGTCGTCGAAAAATGAGTCATAATTTGATTTAATTTAGTTCAGTTTAATAGTGCATTCTGCACCAGAAGTACTAAAAAGGCTTATTTTTTTGTTTATTTTGTATATTAATATTAAAGCTGAAATTTGGACTTATGGATTTAAATCACGATATTTTTGTGTTCTTAGATTATTCTCTTTCTTTGTAAACGGAAATTTAACTTCTCATTCCCGTAAACTTTCAACTCTAGATAGGAAGTTCTGTCGAAAATCCATCCACTACAAAAATTCAAATATTTACATATCCAAATGGTAAGAAATCGATCTCGATAGAAAAAATCTTAACTTTTTCGACATTTTTTATATGACAATAACTAAGTCACCCTTCGCATGAATTTGCAATCTCAGTTTTTAGATTTGCATGACACTTCTTCCACCTCTAAATCAAAATTATATAAATGGTGCGGCAAACACGAATTTTCATCCGTAAACTTTTGAAAGTCAGAACTATAAAATGGTATAAAGATTATTTAATTAGTCAGATTAATTACAATTATATTTTTCAACTTATTTCCAAATTGCCTTTGTAGTCCACATCCGTTTGTTTAGAACCTTAAAGTGAACTCAGATTCCTACATGCAACTATTAAACTATTAATCAAATTAATAATAGTCCATAAGTTAATATTCGTTCATATTCATAGCTCATAGTTAAATTTGTATGACCGGACTAGATAAGGATTATGAGCTTATCAATAATTTTATAATTTAAAACGTACCTATAAATGATAAATCATTGCTTTTAGAAAAATTGGTTCCCAGCGATGGTCAGTAGATAGTTTTTTTTATTGTGAAAAGAATAATTATTTTTTCATATTCACGCTGACAATTGAATAATACTACCTAATTTATACACATTCATGAAAAACTTATTTTTTTAGTAAAGTATTGTTTATTTTTAATTTAAGAAAAATATTGTTTTAAATTATCTATTTTTGTAACACAAATACTAAAATATTATCCCTTATAAAATATAATGCATCGACTCTTTTGAATGTTGTATATTAAATGTTTTTTTTTTTTATTATCTTTTGGGCTTAAAACTACTTTTAACTTATGATAACTTATAAATTCAAAAAAAAAAATGAGGGGGATGAGGTGACCGAGTGGTCTGACGCGTCCGCTGCGACGCAGCCGGTCGCGGTTCGATCCTCGGCTACCGGGCGGCATTTTTCTCCGGACAAGTCGCGGTGACCGGAGAACAAGTGCTGCCATCCCCCACCCCCGGGGCATGGCAGAAACCTACGGGTGCCCCATTCGAAATTCTGCCAAAAACAAACACACACGTGTTCCCCCCTACCGTCCCAAAAAATATACAATACAAACCTACAATACAAATTCTACTACAGCTAATGGCCTCAGTTGCCGAAGCTTAAGATCAATAAAAAAAAAAAATTCAAAAATTGGACAAGGATACTATATATTACGTTATTTTCCATACTTGAAGAAATTATGTCATCTGGTAACATGGTAAAAAAAAGGATGTCATGAACAAAACCACCAAAAAGAATGGACTTCATGCAGTTATCAGCTATTCTGCCTTTTTCCTTTTAGGTTTTTAGAATGCATTTTGTACGAGTTTGAGGCAATATCTAACATTAATAGGAAAAAAAGAAAATTATATAAACTGTAGTTCATTTATAAGTAAAACATATTGGTTGGATTAAAAAATGAACATTAAACATTTAAGTCATTTTTGATTGTACATGTTTATGTGGACTATAACTTTAATATACCTACTCGAAAATTGATACGTTATCAGTTACATTTTTAATAACATATTGAAGATTAAAGATTAAGTAATTGGTAGAACTCACATAAACTCAAAACACGTTCAAATATAAATAGTCAAAGTCAAGTCAAAATATGCATAATTAAGTATAATTATACTACAGTAGTAAGACCAAAAAAAAAAAAACATAAGATGCCGTAAAATACATACTCAAAAATATCCTAATCAAAGATAGGAACATATCCTATTGTAATATTTGTATTAAAAGTGTAAACACCGTTAACATCGTGCAACTAACGGTACCTTGCCAAGTATTTAAAAAAAATATTATATATCACAGATATTCATATCTGCGAGTGAACAACTATTGATAAAAATCTAAATTGTCAATTTTATTATACATTTATAACTACAATTTTTGAGATAGCCATCGCGAAGAATTAACAAGACTTGTATCTAAATATTATATGAGTCGTTTTCAACATAGTTTTTTCCCCTAAGCATACTAAGAGATGCCTACAAATTCCTATAAATTTGCTTATACAGTTATACATATCAAACTAAATTTTTACAATTTTATCGTTAAACAAGAACGTATTTTTTTAATGTAATTCATAATCATAGAAATAAATTGAAATATTCAAAATAAATTACCAACATGGCAACATTTAATAAATATTTTTTTTCATACATGACAATATTTTAAATCATCTCTGTGATGAAAGGCCTTATAGGTATATTCACGACGTCAACTGAACATACCTCTGAGTGTGTAGTGTAGTGTAATTAATTATAATTTATTGAGTAGGTACAAAAAATAAAATAATTTAAGTTATGTTAAAGTTTACACCACAGCCTTCGCCATTATTTCCAATGATTTTTCACAGTATCAGTTAGTGGATTTTAATAAACAAAATAAGTAGATATTTAATATATATTTAATGATCCAACACAAATAAAATAATCTAAATTTAAACTATAATTTAAACTGTTTTATTTACCTAAAAACTGTACAAATTGTGCTGAAAATTAAAAGGTATATTTACCGTACGAGATGATGTTATAATGTGAATCATAGTATTGATTTTTTTTGTCAGGTTGAGCTCAATGTTTAAAAACGCAATAAATTCAGATACTAATGTTATTTAATGCAGATACTGCTTTTGATGAGTAATTTTAGTGTTTAATATTTATATTAATTATATTTATTATTTATATTGAAATGTCAAAGTCTCAAATACATTAGGTACATTAGAACCTACATTTTGCATGTGTTATTATAAAAAATTGGTTGACGAATTGTAGAATGAAGTATAAACTATTTCAGACTATATCAACCATTGGATTTTTATATTTTTAAACTTATGTGGAAATAATAATGACAACTCATTTTTCTGTTACAGGGTTTTTTATTAAGTATATTTTTATTTTAAAGCGAGTTATGAGTATTTTAAAATTGTAAATTATTTGTCCATCTTCAAATACAAGTATACCCGTAAGTCTCTTAAAATTTAAAGTATAATAAAAAGTTTAGGCGATGTCCAAGATAATAAATTTAATTTTATAAGAGGTCATTTAACTCTAATTTTAAAAATTATTATGATTATAATCATTATTGTGAACACATGACGTGAATTATATTAATATTTTTTTTATATCTATAGTATTATGTCCATGCTCATAAGTCATAAGTTTGAATTTGATTTGTATTTGTGTAAGCTAAAGGTAATGCATTTTTTTTTAGAGGCTATCGAAGTATTATTTGTATAGTAGGTTTGTACTATTCAGGTTTGGCAGCCTTAGTATATTCTATATATTTAATAATTTTGTTCATAGTGGTTTTCAACTAAGAGGGATCTAAAAGGGATTCAAATTCTTCCCCACATTTCAATACCTACCAAAAGCGAAAACTGATTGTACAAAGGAGAGGTATATATTACACGTGTATTTTATTTGTATTTAAATAAATCTCTAAAGTGTTATAAATTAAATCACATAATTAATATATATTTTCCATTTCGATTGACAATCCCGTGGTAAATTCTCTCATCTAGGGCAAATATATTATTAAAACTACAATAATATGCCTGGATACAAATTTGATGTTTTAGACTGCTTTATCAGTTGCAATTCGTGCTTCGTACATTTACGCAGAATAAGTAATAAGTATAATATAATATAGTTACACAATATGTCATTGATACATCAGATGTGTGATGTATAGTGTCATAAATACGGCATACCTACCTAATAATAGTACCTATAGCAGAATAGGTATTATTCGTATAAACAGCTGTATATTGCAACGATATTGTGTTTTTTTTTCAAATTTATGCTTATTTGTGTAATATCAGTTATCATACTATTTATAATATACCTATTCTGTGAATCGTAATTATTTTGTAGTTAGGTATGTGAATAATTGGCTTATATAAAAAAAAATAATAACTACGCATAGGCATAATACAGCAGAAATAGACAATACTAATTGTACTAAAATATTAAAAATATGTTATCTCTTTTCTAGTTAAAACTTTATACCTACTGCGTATAACATGAACGTGAGTCAATAACAAAATCATTCATGCAGACGATAGTAGCTATATTTAATAGGTATAATATAATATGTATATATTCCGTAAAATGCGTGCACATGTATTTTTGGTCGTATATTGTATTGTACGTTCACCAACCGATCGCTTACGAGTCACGAGTATACGTACGATATATCCTTGCAGTAACGATAATATTATAATATTTAAACCTTCGAATAAATTAAACGTCCCACCGATAATTGAGTGTTACCACATTGTGGACGGGGAATAATTAAAACCTACGATATTAATGAACGACGAGCATTCAAATACGGCTACTGTGCAACAAGAACAATAAAATAACGTTTAAGTGTATGCTACGCGGGTCACATTAACGGGCTAAATTCGTTAACCTAGTGGTTGCGACGAAGAGGAGGGCATATAATATTGTCTAGTATTAATAAATGCAAGCGAAATATAACCTATTATTCGGCTCGACCATATTGTTTACAAATAAAATAAAATACGGCGATAATTCGAATTGTGGAAAATTAACTCATATACTTATAGGTTTGTGAAGGCGATGGTGTAGGGTATCTAAATACTTAATTATAAACACGCTTAATATCCTGCCAGTGGTGGAGGTCTGGTCCAGGTCCTAGTCTTGGCGAAAGAAGGCGCTAACCGTCAATGCAATACCACGTGTTAACGAATATGACTGCGAACGGTGAACTGTAGCAGGTGGTAGTGTTATAACCTAGGACCTCGATGAAACCGCCGGTCAACGACGAGACAGCTAGTTTCCAGGATGCAAGAACGGGCCCGACGGTAACTGCGGTCATTCCTAGACGCCTTGGCTCGCTTGTGTTGATCGTCCGTAGTTAAAGTAACGCCTTCTGTGTTCGCCCGACGGTCCGTTCGAAGGTCCATTCCCGTACATTACACCCCCCCTCCCATTTACTAAAAAAAAACCATATCACTAATTAACATGAATTCGCATAACTATTTTTAGAATTGCACCACCCTTTTTTACGAGTTATTTCTACAAAAAGCATGAAGGGGCCGGCTAGTGTAACATTATCCCAGCCCCTCATAAGTGAAATAATCATTGTTTTACAAATTTTATTTTACCAAACTTTAGTACGCCGTTAGCATGGTAATTAATGACATGGATTTTTTTAAAGGTCAATTGGGGGGGGGGGGGAGAAAAAAAAAAGGACCATTCACACGTATTTCGTGTACTGTGCTGACTTCGAGTCCTAGCACTTAACCGAGCACATCTGCCATCCACCACCGGAATCAAAGCGTCGGTTGGACATGTGCATTTTGAGCAATTCTAACCATTTTGTGGACGAGTTTAAGTAAAAAAATTATACTTTTAATGGATATAATACTGCCTTTTAACCCTATATGTAGATTTACACGAATAAACGTTTTTGTAAAGTCATTTAATTGGTAATTTTAGATATACTATAGGTACATATACATACGTCATTTTTGGCCTCAATTCGTATAATTTCATTAATCACTGATAAGAGGTCATGTCCATCCACACCTTTATTAATTATCATCTATAATTAGTAATGATCCATGGGTACAGAATAAGTCACCAATTCTGTGCCATAGGTTTACATCTCCTACTCTTTCATAAGCATACAATGGAGGTCAGCTTGAGCCTATTACCTAACTTTTATCAATTTTACTTTAACTTTAACATGCATGGCTGAATTTAATTGCCACACATCGTAGGTAGGTAGATTACTCGTGTGAGTCGTGATGTATACTTTTATTTTATATAATTAGTTAACGCACAAAATAAAAAAGGTGCAACATTATTGCACACTTTTTAGATTTCTCTGCAAAAAAATACAACACTATTGCGAACCACATAAACTAAGTTCATGTACAAAAATAAAACAGAATAATTAAAATTTCGATTTTCATCAACCATGTATTAAGACACACCTAAGCTAAATGCATTATGTTTATAATTGATAAATAATTACCTATTTTATCATCAGAAAAATCTAAGATGGGTAGGAGTATTTTCCATCAATCACGTAGAGGAGAACACGAAATCGTTTGGATCAAATAGGTACCTTTTTTTGGTATGCGATCGTGTTGCTTCTTTTTTTCGGATAAAATGGTAAGACAAAAGTGTGCAATCGTGCTGCACCGCAAAACAAATCATAACATCATTATACAATTACCCAAAAACCATAATTCGCTCATAGAATCGATTGTTACTATATAGTGTTTGGTGCAGCCTTCCAAAAATGTACACATTGCTCCTTATATGGCTATACGTTATAATATATTGCCATTGTCATGCTCCTAAGAATAAAATATATATTTCGACACGGAAAAAATATATTAATTAGCTCTCTCGCCGCGCGGTTGCCCGGCGGACTGCGCTCGAGTTCATTGGCTCCGAAGGGACCTCGAAAATCACTGGTCATTATACGGCTTTCTGGTGACTCGAATGTGACGTCCGAGTATACTTAGCGAAATATTCATGACGATACGTCATATTATTATTGTTAAACTATGCGTAGGTATTACACCGTGGTGTCTGCGTTTCAATTAAATTGAAATGAAAAAGCTAAATTGTCGAAAAAGCGCGCAGTTTAATTGTACATAGTAAGTTCGATTTCGAATAAGATATTATATAAAAAAATTTCAATACGAAATGAGACTGAAAGGCTGGGCATGAAAGCGTTGAAAATTCTTAGTTGAGTTAATAAGTTAAGTTAATTTGACTTTTTAACTAAATGAGTTATATTATTTATTGTTATTATTAACTTAAGGAGTACAAAGAATAATTAACTTTTAAGCAACCGAATCAATTTTACATTCAAACAAACCAAGTTGATTTCAATTTCAATTACTATAATTTCATATGTTCCTATAATATATTGTGGACACCTATGATAATTATTACGACTGTAGTACGTTTGCCATTTATACAAATTAATATACTACGCCACTAGATATTATTTTAATTTTACCTATATAAAATCGAAAACTTAATTTTTTTTTATTAACTTAATTTGAATTAAAAAGTGAATATTAACGTTTGGTCAACTTCTAAATTCATTAAATTAATAGATAATTTTGAATTAACTTTATTTAGATTTCAATTTAACTTACCTTGATTGAGTTAAAAATATCATTAACTTGCCCCAGCCTAAATCTAAACATGAAATTTAATCAGACGGTTATTTGACTTAGAAAAATGAAAAGGAAAATTCACATTGTTTTGATTTCTGCAGAAAATATTTTTAAAAGTGATAATATTTTCAATTTTATATCTGTCACTCTTTAGCCACTCTATTTGCTCTTCTTCTTTCTAAATATAAGTTTGTTTGTTTAGCTTTAACATATTCTGAATTGAGTTCAAACCGCACAAACAATAAAATAAACCTATTATAACAGGTGGATACACACTGGTTCGGTTAAACTGTAATCTCCACTGTAAAAACGACTCATAAAGTCCAACTTTTTTTATAACTGCCTACCAATTATCATTGAATTCGAAAAAAAAAATAACAAAAAACCATCCCCCATCAAACTTGGTGTATTATAGTGTGCACGTATCGTATCATTGCCAATAGGCACACTTTTCGTAAACTTTATAACATTTATGAAATAACGCATTTCAAATTTTCGAATAATTATTTAAATACTCAAATAAAAAAGTGTTTAAATACATCGAAAAAAAAATTCCAAATGCTTTAAAATACTAGCAGTGTATGAGAACACTTCAAGGCCGACGTACATGTCTCCACCCCACCCATATAAAATTTCGCAATTTTACGACGGCATTGTGGAATGGAAACAAAGTCAACAGAAGAGTCCCTACCCTACCTCCCACCAATAAATTAGCATTAGAGTTTATTACACTTTATAATTTTTGGTTTTCAGTACTTTCAAATATTTTTTTTTTCAATAAAACGTTAGTACTAACATTACAAATTTCCACTCAAATACTTGACAATTTTAACCAGCAATACTTTACCTATAATATGATTCCTACATGGTATCCAACGAGTTACATAACAATAGTACCTTCACGCGAGTATTATTACTACAACAACATGAGGCCGCGCACGCGCCCTCCGCCGCCGCCGCCGCCGTCTCCCCCGCGGCGCAGTGATTGATTTTCGCGCCGCCGGCCGATGTTGTCGCGGCGGCGGCGCCCACATCGCGCCCAAGTTTCACGCGGCGCGCACTGTCACTGCACCATGTCCTCCTCCGACGGCTTGACGGCGTGCTCTCCGGACGGCGACGGGACGACCGCGGCTTGTCCCCGACGACGGTGCAGCGGTTTGACCGGTTGTGCGCTTCTCGCTTCTGAAGCGGCGGCCCACGTGGCCAGGCTGTGCCGGTCCAATCCACGACTGCTGTCCATGCTCGTCCAGGAGAAATGTGGCGAAGATGCCAACAGCAGTCGCTTCGCGCACGACTTCAAGACGCTGGCCGACGTGCTGGTGCAGCGCGTGGTCGCCAAGCGCATCGGCCGACAGGTATAATATGACAATAATATTCGTGTACATCGGTCATCGGCGTTTAGCGCTCGCGACTGCAGCAGTTGCAGCTGCAACGCGTCGGGTGCATAATGCATGACATGATATTATATTATTATAGTGTTACCGTATCATGTCACGTGTTGAGGGGGCCCGGTACGTTGGATGTGCAGTATGGTCGATGGTAAGCGCTTACCGTATATTTACACGTGAGGGGCACGTGCTATTTTGATTTAGGATATTTGATACTGCAAAGCATAAACATACATATAAGATAACAGTAATCTGAAATTGTCGCGACGATATCATATTATGCAACGATGAGCTTAAAAGAATTATTTACATTATTGCGGTTAACCGTTACATAATTCAAAAATACAGTTTTGTTATAAAACCGGGCTCTCTCGTTAGTTAATAACCTATTATCAAGAATAATTAGAAAGGTAATAAATTACACACCTATACTCTAAATGTACGAAAAATGAATAATAACGCTACAAATAATCCATATAATGATTATAATAATTTTTTAATTAATTAATTAGTTAACAAATATAATATAATGTAATATTAAAAAAAATTAAAAATAAATAAATATACATAATATACTGCAATTGGCAGAAATAGTCATAAAAATTGTAATCGATTCTCTTAAACATTTTGTAATAACCACCAACCTTTGATAAATAAAAATTGTATCGTTTTGTTTAGGGTCTGGATTTAAATGCTTTAAAAACTATTAAAATATTCAATAAAAAACAACCCGAAAATAACCGTTACAACACAATAGTACCATTAAAAAATTACCAACATTTTTCCTGTGAGTACGCAACACCTAAGAAAGCGATGTTATAACTTTCTGAATTTCAACACTTAACTAAACTAGCAATAATACAAAAACCAAATACCATACTTAGGCACGCACGATTTGGACAGTAAATAAACAATACTTATATAGTTATTCTGGATCAATAATTGATGATAATCAATTGATAAACACATCAAATGCGATCGCCATGAATATATTGTCTCCAACTGACCAATTAGTTATTATAATACTTTCTTTACAGAGTCCCGGTAACACACCACATCCGATAATCGCTGGAAGTAGATAAATCCCTTTCATAGAGTAATATTTATCATGAAGTTGGTACATTGTCACATTGTAGTTGCCAAAATTTTGTAATTTATTGTTTTTAAGTATTAGGTATTTCACCAATTATTATGATACCAACCAAATTTACACAAGCCACGAGCCGTAAGCAGGCAATGCGTTATCGATTACTACATTAGTTCCGGAACAATAAACATCAGTTTTATCAGTAATACTCACCTTTTTTTTCTTTTTCTTTTAAAGCCTTTAGTATACAACTATGATAACTTAACAGAGATAAATAAACAATACAAAATTAAGATTAACAACAGATTAGTTCATTATATCTATTATATTATGAAGCCAGGCTCCAGTATAAAAGTGATTATCATTTGTATAGCTGTTTCAGATTTTGTGTTTAAAATAGAGTAAAGATTGAGAGGAATATTAAGAGATCTAAGAGTGTTAAATAGAATTTGTCGTTTAAACCGCAGGGCAAGACAGTTGTATAAAATATGAGGGGTCACAGATACAATAATTTAAATGAAGTGCACAAAGCAGTGAGTCATTTAGTCCAAGTTTGAAAGAGTAACTAAGTAATAATCCTAGATATGTCCTATACGTAAACGATTAAATTGGACTATGTGTGGTCTTTGTAACTTTAGGTTGTTTAACCAAGTATTTACCATGCTATCGGGTGTTGTACGTCTATACCTCGAAGCGAACTCGGCCGGTAATTATACTCACCTATATAAACCTTAAATTTTAAACATTTAAGTATTTAGCACCAGGGAAACATTTAGAATGATCGTTAAAGTTTTTATGGCAAGTACTGTTTCAAAATTATTATAGAATTAAATAATAATTCAGTTTATATGAAGCGAGTAGCCGATCTCCTGAGGTCGTGTCACGTAGTGCGTTAAAAAAAGTTATTGACACTAAAAGCCCCAACAATATTTATAAATATTAATCGCTCAAAAAATTAATAAAATTACCGAAGTCGAAAATGTCAAGAAATAAAAGACAAAAGTTTCACCTTTGAGGTATCTATTGCAAGACACGAACTATATGTACTGTGAAATCAGACTTAATTATGCTTTAGACTTCTGGAGCACACGAAAAAAAACACACTTTGCATTAAAATACGGGACCTATATAGTCACGATAAATACCCAATGCCTTACTGTGATACGCTAAGTAAAAATATATAATAACAAAGTAAATTAACTCTGCATACAACACCTAGAGTCGTTTTGAATACATATTATAGGTACATAATATGTGGTAAAAAAGACAATTTTTAATCAATATATTTCCGGGCTCTATATCAAAATAGTAGTTAACAACGTATACAATTATTATTATACATATCAAACGCAGTGTAATAAATACTCTGCAAGAGGTGCGATCGCAGTCCCCGCTCCTCCTCGTATTATGGCATCACCTATATTTTAACAATAATAAATATCTGAAAAATAAACCTTTAAAATGCCACCGTAGGTTATAGCGCATCTATACACCTTGCGTATATTATATAACTGCATTACGACTACATAAGTACATTATGGCCCTGCACGGGTATTGGCTAGAGACACGAGGTCAGAGAGTTAAGCTCACCTCGAGGGGCGCCGATATAAGTGCAATGCGAATATTATTTAAGAGGAAAAACTATTTATGTTTATAATTATAGGCACAACAATATTATTGAAGATTATTAGATCGATATAACTGTAATACTGTATACTGTATATGATAATATTATAAATATTATTACCAATAAACGTCACAAATAGATACCATAGATAGGATGACGTCTTATCTGTATAATATTATTATAAAATCGATGCGGCAATCTTTCCTCCGACGATTCTCATGTCAAATTCATAATAATATGTTTTTCATTAAAATATTCAATAGTAGGTACCTGTATCGATAAACAATAAAAACATAATTTGCATTACATCATCTTTGTATATGACAACATGTAGAATTCACATCAATCGTATATACGTATATATATATATGTATATCATATATTTTGTAGATGTCGATATTCGCATGAATAGTTTTTTTCATAATATATATTTTTCTCTCTTGTATTATATTAGATTACCAATTATTAGTATTATTTCTTGAAACAGTAATACGACATTGTCCTCGTATGTTGTTTGCTTTCGAAATCCGTTCAAATCGATAAATTGGCCAGAATTTGGACTGCGAGTTCGAGCAGTATTGTTCATGGACTATTAATTGCAAAAACTCATTGTAGGTAGCGACATTTTAGTCGTTGGTACATGTAGCTGCTAATACATTAATCGTAGATAATAATAGTGTTACCTAAGATGACTAAGAATGACGTCAGTAATTCGTGTCGACTTCCGAGCACATGAGATTTATTATCTAGTAGGATGAAAAAAGCTACATTTTACAAACTAACTGATTAATGTTTTTTTTTTTATGAGATTTTTGTATTCGTTGTCCCATATATCAACAGTCGTATAATAGGTACAACCGTAAGTTCTATAATACATTTCCTGAGATTTGAGTAAGCAATATTACATAAAGTTCATTTTTTACTAGAGTAAAAACGATTAGAATATACCTAAAATATTGACGTATACTATTGTACCATTATTTGTACTTTATTGTACAATATACATAAAAAGTGTTGGTATTGTAATATATTACGTATTATTATTGGTATCTACCTCTGCTGTGTAGTTATTTTGTTTTTACCTTCGACTTTCTATCAATGCGTCAATTTATTATTTATAAGTACAATAATATTGTATAATATTTAGTTCTCATTTGCCAGTATCTGATATTAACTATTGTCTATTAACCGGCCTATACAATGAAACGTGAAACCATCGACCCATCGGCTATCAAACATAAAATTGATAAATTATATTCTTTTTTTTTTTCTTTTATTGGTATTTATTATGTTTAAAATAATCAAATGTTTCGACATATTATCATCATTTACATGATATTAAAAGTTTGATAAAGTGTTTACATTTTATATATAATACTAGTACATATTGTAGCTATTTTTCCGTGCTAGGTTGTACAAACGTCAAACAGTATCGATTTGACTATAGTGGGTAGAATTAATCAATAGAATATAACAGGTTTTGCGCATATATTCCGATATAAGAATACGTGTCCTGTGACTGCCAGATATGTTGGCATCTATTTTTTGTTTTGGTCTCAAGTCCCATTGTACCTATACCTACGTCTTCTGATGTCATAAGTTTTGTTTGATCATTTTAAAATTTGGCTTTTAGCTAGTCTCGAAAAAGGGCAGAGTGTTCCCATATCGCTGTGTAATTGTCTATGCCTCGGGAACCATAATGAGTCGTATTGTGAACGTATCTGTAGGAATCTTATACGCATTTTAATTACAATTTAAAGTTTCCAGAACTCGAAGAGAACGTGTATGGCGAAGAAAACGATACGATACAGAACAATAAAGGTCAAGACGTCACCATACAAGTCGGAGAGACGATAGAAGAGACATTTCAGTGTTTGTCCAAAGCTCTGGGAGACGACTTGGACTCGGCCAAGAGCTTAGCGGAAGCCGCTCACAAAGAGTTCGGAGCGAAAGACCTTAACGTCGACTGTTATCCTCCCGAAGAGAAAAACTTCGATTTGGAGAAAATCGGAATATGGATCGATCCTATTGGTAATTTACATAATATTATTGAAGAACTACAAAAATAAACGATGTCGTTGTGATTTTCCGATTTTTATGGTAAAAAATGTTATCACTCTGAACGCGTCTGATAACAATAATCATTAAAACAGTATTCAATACTGAAGTGTAAAGTTTAACGATAATGTTAATATAATGGCCCTAACGTTTTCAGATAAGATTTTGTTTTAATAATTCGTTGGTTTTATATGATTTTTAATCCGACCTAGGCATATAATATTATAAATGATCGACATCATGTTAATATTATTATAAAACATAGTAACTAAACATATTTTCTACACAAACTACTCTATATAACATTATAGATTCGACGAACGAATATATAAACGGCAATGTCGATACAATAAACGAATACGGATTCCACTCTAGCGGACTTCATTGTGTCACAATCAATATTGGTTTATTCGACAAACTTAGTGGAAAACCTATTGCCGGCGTCATCAATCAACCGTTTTTCGAATTCAACGCCGTCGAAGGGTAATCATTATTAATGACCATCGTCGTAATTTTCTGTTGTAAATAATAATATAATAGTTTTGTTTTTTAATACACATCGATAACCGATTACTCAATAGAACCCTCCGCGTGCGTTGTCTCCGTATTACAAAGCGTGTACAACATACAAAAAACGGTTCTGCGGGGGATAAAAAAACTCAAATTGTAGAAATAGTTCAGAAGACTACGAATTGATTCACACTATAGATGAAAACATTATCTGTGAAATATCGTTTTTTATTTTTTCGATATCACTTATGCGTAAAAATGTCTTGTTGTTTCAAAATACTAATATAAAACTCGAGTAACTTTTTTCGTAATTCCGATATCGAAAATCTGAAAACGATATTTGTACAGCCAAAGTTCTCATTTTTATGTGGTGAAAATTTAATTTCTTATAGTTTTGACTATAGCTTTTTCGGTTCTTTTCCGCGAAAAACAGTTTTTGTTGTATTTTACATAATTTGTTAGACTGAGACAACACATGCGGCTGTAGTGTCCTCTTAATCATATTAATGTAGTCTGATAAAATATGTCGTTGAACTTCTAATTTAATACAATCGTTATTATTATGTTTGTTAGTATGATATAATTATAATAAGTGCCAAGTGAATGATTGGTTTTTATATAGGAAACACTAATGATTGTGTTTAACTGAAAGTCACTTATTTTTTTGCGCTAATTGTCTAATATTAGCACTCACGTTTTGTGTTTAGTAACAAACAGTTTGCTTTAACGTCATGACATCACTGCAATATTATTTATTTAAACGTCGTAAAATACTATTTTGACAGCCTATGCCTACCATTGGATACCTAATATTATACCTCTATTTGCAATTCATATAAAACAATATCATTTTGATTCTTTTCAATGGACACTATAATGGACACTATTGTTGTTAATTACACAATACTTACACTGTATTATGTCCACATTATTACAAATGTAAAATAACATATTCTAATATTGCGTTATTAATTATAGTGATTGTGAATTCACTAAGGCATGAGCGCCGCAAGTCAAACTACGTGAAACGTCGTGTAAATGTATATTTTTATAAAAATAAAAATAAATCTCTATGCAAACTTAATAACGAATCGAGAAACGTGAAACGTGAAACGTCAACAAGACGTATTTTAAGAACTAATTTCATCGCGCCTGTGTGTTTTTAGGTGGAGTGGAAGATGTTACTGGGCGTATTGCGACGGACAAAAAAGTTTAAGCTCATTGCCAGAATTCATTAGCTGCAATCAGGTAAAAAAAAACTCTAATTAGTCACATTTATCATAACATATTGTCGTATCGATCGTTAACTCAAAGCGTATAATAAACGCCTGTTAAACATACCTATTATGTATAATATTATAATTTATAATATATACGCATTAGGCATGTACCTGTTATAGAATCATAAATTATTCATAATAACATAATAGTGAATACGTGAACACCGCAATAATTATTAAAAAAAAGACTAAATTTACGTACAGGTAATGCCAGATAATGATATATGATTATTGTGAGTAACGCTTTTGCAGAATTGCTCTGAAATCGGCGCAGACAGTTTAAAATCATTTTTCTTCTAATCTTTAGTAATATTAAGACATTTTAATCGGTGTTTTTTCATTCAAAAACAACGTCGTTTTCCATACACGAAATCCATCGTTTTGTTTGTTTGTCTCATCGAACTCCTCTTTATGACCGTATATCGTGTATAATCTATTCGATTATAATATTGTTAAGTGGTAACAATTAAATTATTGTCTATCACTACTGGTATACGGTGTGTAATTGTGAATCCGTATAGTGATAGATCTATACCAAACGATGGAATGTGAGAGGATTTGGATGTTCGACAACACAGTTAGATATACCGAATATAATTTAACGTATATTTAAAATGTAAAACAAAATGTAATACAAAATATTTTACTTTACCAATGACCTGGCAGCAACAATGTGATGAGACGAGACTAGTTCGGCTGACGTATGTCCAGCAGGCTGAACGATTATTATAAATTTTGTTTACTATACAAAATAGTTATACATATATATAGCTTTACTTCGTGATATTACAGAATGAATGAATGATGACACGCGCGTCTATGCTATATGTATAGTATATGATACTACACGTAATATTATAATCATAAAAATATGAAAACTGTAATGGTGTTCCACACTATTACAATATCATACTCTGTTTCGTTTGGAAACGTTATTCTGGAACTAAAACTAAAGTGAATCACTTAAAGTAATTATATTATGACTGTTGAAAACAAGAACTAACTATTTCTAACATAATACATTAGCTCATATATTGATATAATAATATGACACTATCGCGTGGCGAACTGGCGACCCATTGTTAAAGAATCGGTGATTTATTGTATAGTATTATTAAGGAATAAGGACTTGTAGACTATTTTTATATTTTTCCCTTCAGACGACCCCCAAGCAAAGTTTTTCTCGATCTACCAATAAGTCTACTACTGATCGCAGACACGTGACATATGTATCTTGGATTACTATCCAACCTCATCCAACCCTTTATTATAACTATTGAAGAATCGATTCCTGACACGTCTTCTAGCCATCATGACTTTCTCATATTATATGACACCCACCCACGTGTCCCGTTACATGACTCTGCAATTTCTCCGGAACACAATTCTTGAATGTTATACATTTGACTCTTGCGCAGACCACGAACCATCTTCACTCTAACTCATATATTTGTTAACTTGTATTCATTGTATAGATCGATCTGTGTAACGGCTACGTACAAAAAACTGCTCATTTTATCTATCCATTGAGAATGGCGAAACACCGTTCATTTGGGTTGAAATCACACACTATTTTTAATCTTCAGATCTGATAGATGTTATGTGAAAACTTTAATGTATTTTGAATACGTCTAATAATATAAATATATCATTTACTGTGTTATAAATATCTTAAGAGGATGTCAGCGCACTGTTTGTTTTCTCTCTCTGACCCACGAGCAACATTGACAATACGTATTTACGTCGAATCATTGTTTTTTTTATGTTTTTGAGTAATCTTAGAATAAAATCGCCCATAACAAAAACGATAGTGATTAATATTCCTGAGGGTATGACGAATCGATTTGTCCGAGTATTGTCTCAAATAAATTTAAATATCATTTGAATTTAAAAAATATAATTTTGATTTTGGAAGTCAAAAAATCATAAAAAAAACAATTTTAGCTGAAAGCTATCCATGTTACTCGTGCGGGGTCTAAGAGAAAAAACGAATATAACTCTGACACCCTCTGAATCTCATTATTTCTTTGAGGATTTTTGAATAAAGAAACGAAACAATAATAATAATACGTGGCTTGGTGAGCGTGGTCCTACGCTCAATCTGCGAAACGCTCTGAGTGTACGTACCGGTAGGCGTTGCTAGCTCCCGGATGGATGACCACCTGGGGTTTTTAGCAACAAATCCTTGCCGTGCAGACATAAACGTGTTCCAACTTCCAACTTATCGTCCCAATCCCCCCCCCCCACACACACACACACACAAATCCAGGGTAATGACCTCAGTAGTTGAATCCTTAATCGAAATAAATAATAATAATAAAAAAAAAAAAAACATTAATTACAATACATTTGAATTTTGTACGTCCGACAGGAGTTGGTGGTGACAAGCAACAGCGAGACTGACGAGGCCAAGGCGGCGCTACAGCGGTCGGGTTACATCGTGGCCACGGCGTCCGGGGCCGGTTACAAGATGCTGTGCGCAGCGTTGGGCGTCGTCAAGTGCTACGCGCTGACCAAGGACTCGACGTACGCGTGGGACACGTGCGCCGCGCACGCAATGCTAGTGTCCCAGGGGGGCACGGCCTGCCACTGTCGCACGGCCGACGGGCCACTGACGTACCGGCCCAAGACCGATGGCGGTGGACGGACGCACTGCAACGCGGCCGGTGTAATCGCTTCGCGCGATCCGCAAACCGTCGACCGGGTGCACGCGCTCCTTTCATCGGTGCACCTGCTCTGCAGCAGTTGATGCGCTTTTGCCGCTGCAGTTGCGCCACTGCAATCGGCGCGCCCCGCGCGTACGCCGTTGTATTAAAAAAAACTGTACACGACGATAGATTTTTAATCGTGTAAGTAGGTACGTACAGGGCACTCTCTCATTTCTGTTTTTTTTTTTAGCGGTTTTATCATTTAGGAAAATCATCGTAATGTGGGTCGGCGATCGTGGATGCTGTGTGAAATATGAAAAATGCAATTATAAGAGCGACATAATCACTGAGATACACACACGACCGACACAACGATTTTTTTTGTTTTTATTATCTTTTCAAGTGCGAGATGACTGCGGAATATTGACTTATACGTGTAAAATCCGAATAGGACTTTTCAGAGTTTTGGCTGGCACAGGTCGTGGTAAAATAAATAGGCAGCGTGTATGATACTTTATACTAAAGTAAATTTTTTTTTTATTATTATTTTAAATAACCGTAAAATATACACGTTACAACTTACAATAATTCTCACGAAATGTCAGATAAAAGTTTAATTTTTAGGTTTAGTTGTTTTTAATAATTGTTTGACGGATGAACGCGTGGTATTCTATTCCATAATTGAAGAAAAACATTTTAGAGCACAGTCATGATAAAATTGTATTTCGCATTAAAAATAAGTGCCCTAATTTATTATTATCGCGTGACATTTCGTTGTAATACCGAAAGAATATCATATATTACCCGTATTATACAAGTATATTATAGTGAGTACTAATAAGTACTGTTATGTAATAGACAGTATACTATATAGCCATAAATAATCGTAATATTATTATTACATATTTTAAAGGTACCGTAATGGTATTATGAGTATAGTTTTAAAATTGAATAAAAAATGGTTTTTATAATTAATACAGGGTAATGTAAACCATTTTGAAAACATTTAGTCAATTTTCATCACTCGATATTGGTAAGGCTTTTTAATCGCAAAAAAATGTATTCGTTTAAGGGGTTTCTTAAATCGTTATTGTGTTAATTATCAAATTTTTTAAAACACCTAAATGACAGTGAAATACGTATTTTTTTATTTTTCTTAAACTTTCTTATTTTAGACGTTCATTGGACGTTACATCGAGTTATTTGAGCTACTACTGGTTTATTGTCATATAATAATCTATTAAAACATCACGAGTATTAAATATCAATGGAGGATAATAGTTGAATTACTTTCAAGATTTTTTTCGACAAAAGTACAGTACATCATTTCTATTTATAAAACTATAAGAGTTCTTCTCAAAAAAAAAAAAATGTATACTCTTTCATTAAAAAAGTACTTTGGTAGGTAAGTGAAATATACAGAACAAAATTCAAAGATATTCAGTCAATTATTATCTTTCATAAATATTTTATACGTACAGACATTGGCAGAAACTTACGAGTGGGTCTTGTACCCTTGTCCACTTGATGTGGGTTGCTTACTGAAAAACAGTGTGCTTACAATGTTTTAGACTTATCGTGTCTTATTCGATTGAGAAATCGTTATGTATTTGTATATAAGTGCACCGTTTAATGTTCAAACTTCACACAACAAAATTGTGTACCTACATAAAATTTTTTTTTACATAGTTATCTGTGATTGAAATGTGTTTCTCAATTGTTATTTATAATCAGTGTTACCAATATATTTAGATCAGTTGCAGTGTAATAAAATATGATACTAGTAAATTATTATGTGTAATGCGAGTTATTGATTAAGTACCTATAGTTTCCTAATTATATGTACTATGTACCTGAGTACTTATAATAACCAGGGTTCGGGACTTTATGCATTTGCATATTTGTTCGGGAAATAAATACTATAAATTTGATCCGGTAAAAATTTGTGTAGTGGTGTTTGGAGTTAAAGTTTTAAAGTTAACCGTTTGCATATTTTTAAGATTTATTGATTTTTATTGCATATTTCAAAATAATTTTTGATTATTTACTCTTAAATCAATTTTTTCGTAAATTAATTTTATCTACATGATTTTTTCGGCAATAATAGCGATAAGGCGATAATCAATAGCGTTACTGGGAACCCATTTTATTTTTAGCTCTGAGGACAATATTATTTTTATTTAATCTGTCTTTTATAGTATTATTTTGTATTTTTGTTTGCCAGTAGTCAGTACCTATATAGTGATCGATGGACTACGATCGTTATCGTGTGCATGTATCGTCAATCGTTGTCGTGTTCGTATCTGTATTCGTTATTTTTTGTATTTATTAGCGCTTGTATTTATGGTATAAATGTATAATATGCCAAAAGAAAACAAAACACAAATTAGTCGGTTGAGAAGTTTCACTTTGGAATTTGGGGATAATGTATTTTTAGCAAATGGAAGAATTTTATTTTGCAAAATATGTGAAATTAAACTTTAAAGTAGATAATAGATATGAACGGCGATCTAGTGTAATACAACATATAGGTACAAACAGTAAAACATGTGAAAATGATTAAACCGAGGGAAATGTGCAATACAAGAAACTAGCAAATGATTACACAAACTAATACAAATAAAATATAATTATAAAATGATTATTTTTTATAACATAAAAATTTTAATTGCTAGGTAAAGAAGATGCGGAGTGTTAAAAAATACAAATTTTTTTATAATATAGTATGTATAAAATATAAATTTTTAGTAATACGTACAACATATGTTTTTTAACGTCTTTTTAATTAAATATAAATGCATATTTAAGCGCATATTTTGATATTTTTTTGGTGCATATGTTTACGTATATTTTTAAGATTTTAAGCACATAAAGTCCCGAGCCCTGATAATAACTAATATAACTATTACGTACCTACGTATATTTATATATTTTAACACAATACACAAAATGGGGCCTGGTGTGGCTCAGTAATTTGTCACAGTCACTAACGTGTTCTGATGTTCAACATCAGACGGCTTCACTAGTTCCCGGATGGGTGACCACCTGGGTTTTTAGTGACGAACCGTCAACTCACATATACGCGTGTTCCTATCAACTAACCATGTAACCCCCCTACAAAATACTAATGGCCATAGTTGCTGATACTTAAGATCATAAAAAAATTGTACATAATATGTAAACTGTATTGTGTATACTATGGAAACCTTTTTATGATGAATATTTATTGATGCATATTAATAATTAACAAAATATTTCGATTGCGAATTCTAACTGTTAATAATAATATTGACATTTTTTTATAGGTGTATTACATGAGACCAATATTTAATATAATACATGATAATGCGTTGTTATTGTTTGTTATGATCTACTTAGGACAGACAAAAAATAATGCATTATAAATATTATTCATTAAAAACTAATTATACTATAAAAAAGTTTCTTAGCTTTCAAATTACGAAAACGAAGTTAAAATTTAATTTGATTATACCTATACCATATCATGTGTATATTGACGAAATGTTAATATGTTTTTATACCTTTATGTTCCCATTATCATTATTAGAGTTTGAAATAATTAACAGTAGCAATATTGCTATACATTTAATTAGTTAGTGATGTTTACTACTATTAATTGATTATTATTTCCTCTATTACCTCACCTACCTATATAAAAACACTATATCTCTTGAGAGGCCTATGTGTATAGGTAATAGTTAAGTTTATTAAAAGTAAAAATAATATAACAAACATAAGTACTCGTGATTCGTATACAATTTAGTACAATAATTATCTATATAGAAATTAAATATCACGTACGCACATAGGTTTTTTTTATTTTCATTATTTGTTACCTATACCTACATTATAATTTTTATTTCATTTTCTGTAGAAGAATAATTTTTAAATAATATGATTTATGACAATACACTGAATACTCAGTGAATAGTTGTTATTGATCTAAACAATTATCTGTAGGTACACATGAATATAGTTAAAAAATGTAATTTCGGTTGACCGACACGCATGGATATATAGCTAGGGTGTAACAAAAATAACCGAAAATGTAATTAACTATGTAGCAAGTGACAACTTTAGCTCTATTATTAATGTTCTTTTTTTCGCATAAAATTAACAAAACAATAATGATGGTTAAATTAAAAAACACAATTTATTTTTAAATGGATTAGAATAAAGTTATTCCATCCATTATTTCAGAGCATATTTTAAGACATTTTTATTGCGCGGCACTATATAAGCCATAAGAACTAGGCCGAATATCTATCTCTTGTACCTAGAGTTGGGAGGTTGCACTCACGATGCCACTTATTTTAGATATGTTAAAATATGATCTACATTGCGTCTATAAGATGTGATTAATTTCGATCGTGAATAATTAATAAATATGCGAATATTGGTGTGACTAGAACCGTTTGAAGAAAAATTTATTATAAATAATAAAATCAAAATTTCGTATTATTACGTATTATCCATCACGATTCATGAATGAACCTAATAATATATTGTTTCCGTGGTAGTAGTGTTTCCAAACAATATATTTTGTACTCGACGTAAAACTGTTTATAACTTTAAATTCAAAAACTGGTCTGTGTCAATAATATTATATTATAAGGTATAATGGATGTTATCGTTACCAAAGTCGTGATCTCCGTGGACCACTGCAATGTTCTTAGCATCGAGTTGGCATTCAACATACTCCAAAGGAAAGTGTTCGCCGACAATAAATTGGACGTATTTATTTTAACTTTGGACGTGGATGAAGTAAAAGAAATGGCTGAACATATAAAAAATTGTTGTTTCTCAAACTTGAATGGTACCCACCTATACATAATGTAGTGCAGTTCGTCAAAATCGCATAAATAATTACATTTTACATTCACTTAAAGACATTACTGGCATATGTGCCCATTAGATATAAATAAATAATATTGTTTTTTCACTGAGTTATCGACATACCTATGACATTTTTTAGCAAAAAACAAAATCAAACTCCATTAGTGCCATTTAGTTCAATAATTCAATTTTTATGTGATTTTACTATTCACCTAGATATTAAATTAAATGCAAAGTAATATTTAATTAAATGCCTACGTATTTCAAATAGGGCAAATAATTAAAATTAAACTTTTTGTATTATTTTAAACAATTGTTGATTATTTATGTTAATGTATGTATTGTTTATTGCTATTCTATATAAAAAAAATTATGTTTAATTAATTAATATTTATAATACGTAGGTATATGAAATATTTTTAATTTAGTTGGACGACCGAATTAGTAATTAAATTTATTCACTTATAATTTTAGTCTTAAGACTAATTAAGACTATATTTAATATACTTAAGTATTTTATATATTAATAATATAATTTCAATAAATAATTAACAGGAAAATATAGTTTAATTTTTAAATTAACGCAAAAACATTTCATTTTTACTATTCATTTAATCAACAATTTTTAATTAAATTACGAATAGTAAAATCGCATACAAATTAAATTCTTTAAACATTTGCCTGGGAGTTTAGTGAAATGCCTGATTTTTCTATATGCCCACGACATAGGAACCATACAGATATAAATAAATAATTCTTATCGGTCCTGGGATTCGTCTATCAGCACGAAAGCTGCAGTAATCATATTTTTTTATACTTTAAACGATCATCATCATCATCATCATCATCATAATAATAATAATAAAAAAAACCCGTTTGCAGAATTAGTCGTGACCGGCGATCGCTTCGAGGCGTTCCTGAAGGCCGACTGCCTCCTGTTGATGACTAATTTGAACCCGCCGGATCATAAAATTCTCGAAAACGTCCAAGACTTAGAGCATGTTTTCAAAAAGGTCAAACCTAAAAGGAGCCTGTATTTTATACTCTATAACTATTTCTAAAAAAAAAAACCGTTTCGAATATTATTATAACGCGTGATGTACCTAAAATATGATAAAAATATATGGTAACAGGCTAAATCGTTTGATCGTCTGGCCAACTCGGATGCCAGGATCGTCATGATGGGACCGTGGTCAAACACGTGGTTACAGATTTTTGCTGAAGTCGCTACACGCCTGAACAAGCTCAACTTTACCGGTTTGTCTAGACATCACGTGAGCAAAGCGTTGGGGCTCATCTCACGAAAACTTGACGTAAGTCGATCGTGTATATTGTGTCATAACACGATAAGCCTGTAGGGCTGGGCAAGTTAGTGATTATTTTTAATTGAGTTAATTTGATAGGAAACATTTTTAAAAGTATAATGTTAACAGTTAATAGTTATTCTATCTTTTTTTAACTCGGTAGGGTTGTATTAACTTATTATGTGGAAACTTACAATTGACTAGTTAACTTGAGTTATTAAAAAAAAAAAAACCATAATATATGAACAGTAATATGGTTTAAAATAGTAAAAAGTAAACGTTTATGTAATGTACATCATCAATAATAACTTTATTATAGTTATTATTTAATTATTTATAAACTAAAGTAGGTTGCTTAATTAAAAGTAACTTCAAGTTAAGATACCGATTCAGTTTATACTGATGGGTTAAAAATTAAGTTGATGAAAATTAAATTGCAGAAGGTTAAGTTAAAAAGTAACAATTAACTTAACTTTTTAACTAGTTTATGCCCAGGCTTGCATAATGATATGATAGAAATATATTATAATAACATCAATAACATAATGTTGTTATTGCTAT